TCTCCATCTCTTCTTCCTCTTCTTGACAAGAGTCAAAAAATATGTTTAACAGAGAAAGCCATTCATACCATCCTGATATCTTTCAACATCCTGGAGTGTGCACTGCTCCAGTTACTCACATGATAAAACTGTCTCCTTCCTCGAAATGTTAAAAAATGAATGAATGGTTTAAAAAGATAGCCATCTTCCTGCAGGGTTTAACATTCTCAACAACCTACCCGCTTCCGGCATTTCTATGATATGCATCATCCCTGAAAAATAATGCTGACCTGTTTATCATAAAACACACTAAATAGACCGAAGCTGCCTCTGTGTACTTTTTTCAGATACAGTTTGTGCAAACTTCTAGTTCACTATTTTCAACATCAACTTCCAAACTAAGGGTACCACTATCGAATCTATAATTCTACATCACGACTGGAGCCGTCATCAGTACATACAAGTTTATGCCCATCTATGGCCATATCCTCACATTCTCCAAACAAATGCACAAGAGGTTTGCTGTTACCCAATTTTAAGTGGTCGTACTGGGCAGCACAAATATGTGCAGCAATGTTTTACTTCATGGCAGAACCTTCACCAGCTTGGGCATTAATTGAATAACAAAGTTACATCTTTTCTCATTTGAAGGTACAAAACTTATAAACAAACACAAAATCCGTTTGTCAAATACAATATGTTTGTATGAAACTCTCTTTTACCTCAGAGAAGCCTCACATTTCTCCCATTTCAGTCCAATTTTTTTGGCAATGATTTGTATCCTGGGAACTCTGACTATGTTTTAGGATGTGGTTAAGGCAAGGAATAAGTAGTACGTCAGACCTTTATTACTAAGGGAATATTATGACATTTGAAGATCTTACACAAGGGGACCCCTAACTGACCTATTGGACCCCCTGAATTTGAAAAATCAAAATTTTCAAGGGGGTCCCTGACAATAAACTTATCATGATGTTATGCTGTCTGTTAGGAAAAAACAAACACTCAAATACAAATTCAGTGAAAAGTCACTGTATAGCCCACTAAACCCGCTAGTTGGGTTGGAGCAAAAATGTGGACTTTCTAGGTGGCCCTGGAGACTTTGTTGGGAACCATTGCCGTAGTATATTTGTAAATCTAAAAACTTGAAATTAGTGGAAAGAATGGATTGTTACTCATTTCCCAAACTGAAGAGATGTTTAAGATAAATAAATACGTGGAAGACCAAGCAAAAAAGCATTGGAGCATTTCCAAAAGAAGAATAGTTAAACCAAACTTTTTGTTGCCACTGAAGCTAGGATCAGCGCTGCTATGGTAAGTGAGTTGCAGCCAGCCAACATAGGACCCCCCCAAATACCAGGGGGTATTTTGCACACTTCTTAGGAACACTTATAATATTCTTCTAAAGCATATCTTCAAAAAGCTTTATTCTTTCAACATACCAATGCCTTGATATACCACCATTATCTTCACTAGAAAAAAGTAAACCTAGATCATTTAGGAGAAAGAGGCCAGGTTTCTATCCTTTCTATCTATAGTTTTCTGGTGGGTAAATCAAAATAATCATCTAACTGTAAACTTTAAGCCTGAACAAAGGACCTACAGGAAAATAAAGGGGGAATGGAGGCTCACCTGTCTAAAGGCCCAGGTGCAAACATTCAATACTAACTTAAAACTTCTCCAATACAAGTGGCTAGGTACATTGTACATTACCCCATCCAGATTATGCCACTTTACCCCAAATATTCTGGATACTTGTATAAAGTATAAACAGAATAAAGCTACACTATTTGTGGGAATGCACTTTGATACAGGATTTCTGGAAAGGGTCATTCATTTAGTCTCACTGATTATTGACAAGGATGTCCTAAATTGTGTATTTTTCATATATTCCCACATGGCTTTAACATTAATAAAAAAAAAATCCTGCTTGATCTCCGTATGTCTATGTCTATCTGACTATGTAGTCAGCTATGCTGAAAAGCCTAAAGAGGAGTAGTATGAAAGATATGGATCTGGGTGCATTGTAACCAAAATACAAAGAGTTTATGTACACTTGTAACCCCCCACCTTTTTTAGTATGATTCTTCATATTTATATTCTTTTTATCAAATGATAAGATTTACAATCATTGAGCTAAATTCTTTTATTATCTCTAAAATAGCTAATAAAGCCAAACAGCTCTTTCTTGATGTATGGCTTTGTTGGAAGTGTTGGAGTCATTACAGCCAAAATATGTCTTGCATTATGCCTTTTCACAATACCCACAGGGTAATTTATTTCTGTTTAAAAATATTATGAGGTTAATTCTTTAGGGGTATGGCCTGTACCCACTATAATTACCCCTTTAATACATGAGTTCTGTTGAATTTCTCCAGCAGTTAAGCCCACCATCAGTGTCTAAAGCAGAGGCCTTCAGCTCTAGGTTTGAAATCTAGTTTCTGGTTGATGTAAATGATTGGTCACCTGTTGTCATACCTACCAGATCTACAGGTTTCTCTGACCACTCTGGTTGCAACAGGTATTGTATCTACTTTTTAGTCTCTTTTATGAGTTTTTTTCTCACAGCAGAGGCACAGAAGTCGAAGTGTTAAACACAGATTTAGAGTTTTCCGTGAATGAAGAAACAACACCTGTTTTGAAAAAAATCTGTGTTGTGTTGTGTAATAGAAGACATGGTCTTACTCAACCTGTAGGGAGAAATAAAATGTTTCATTTGGCTTTTATCTCCTTTTGCACATGATGTACTTGATCCCCATCTCGCGTTACCCTGTTGGAAAACGACATTCGATACCACCACACCCACTAAACTGCTGCTTCTTAACAGCATTGTTTTTGGAGGTCTGTTTGCAGAGGGCACAAGCTGTGTCCAGTTACGAAGCGAAGTGATTTCATAGTGGCCTCCCTTTCATTCAGAAGAAGCCCTTTTCATATGGGCTACTTGATCTAGATGATTATTGAACCACAACTTGTTTCAGTGGGAGAACTAGGCTGTTCTACAGATAATACAACCTTACAAATCTTTTCATTTGGGTCATGCGAGCGTGTTAATGGGGCGGTTAGAGGTTACAGGTGCTGAGTAGGCCCCTGGTGGCTCATTAACTGTGCCACCTGGTGTCAATGATGTGAAATGTTGAGAGAGAATAACTTCAAGAGAATAATCAACCATTAACGAACTTGAGTCAACTTGAAAGTTGGCAAACTGCAAATCCTTCATTTGGAATATGCAGTCCTGGAATTTCTGGTCCCTGTGTATTAAAGTATATATACATTGTTGATTTGCTGATATTTCTGCTGAAATTCCTTTAAAAAAAGTATCAAATCAAACATATTTAAAGATTGACATTACTCATTAGCTTTATGTAATACATCTGCTCTTACTCTCATATTTTTCCAGCTCATGTGCAGAAGAACTTGGGAGATGAATAGCCAGTTTCCTCAGCTCAAATCAGATGCTCTATTGTTGAGATGACATGCATAAACTCTAGTACAGGTGTAGACTGAAGTTACTGACTGATTTCCTTTTTCTCTCTTGCCGGAACACATAATCCACAGTCCTTAGAACGACAAAACCAGCAATTAAGGCCAATATATCTCCCAAAAAGGAGGGCAGCCAGTGTAGAAGTGAACTTATTTTATTTTTCTCTTATCAGTATGCAATAGTGTATGCATAGCTGCACTTGTTACAGACCAGAGCAGTAATTAAGAGGCATAACAAAAATATAGTGTGACAAACAACACAAGTTAAAACATTTAAACTTCCCTTTGAGTAAGTTTTTTTGTTTTTTTTAAATCGTAGTTCTTATAAAGCCTTGCTTTAGTTTATCAATTTTCATCTTGAATTTAACATTCTTGAACTTGATATAATAAAACTGTTTTGATTCAAGATCTCCAAGTGATGAAATGACTTATAGTATTAACCTAGTATTAAGTTTTGGATCTTTGTCAAAAATTGAAATCTCACAGCCTTTTCAGTACATTATTATGACAGCTTGGGAGCTTGCACTGCTGTAGTCTTATGGTCAGAGAATGGGCAAACGTTGCTCTAGCATTAGTATAGTTTTAAAGTGTATTTTGTCACATGAATCTCTGTGCCAAATCTTTTAGATGATATTTTATTACACTTACTGCACTGAGGTAGCCATAGATAAGTGCCTTGGGTTTCAATTGAGACATCACACATTCTTTAATAATATACAGGCTCCAATTAGAATTAAGCACAAGCAGTGGCATGAATTCAAGTTCTTTTATGCCCATCACCTGTCAGCTGTTCTAGACCCTCATACTTCATACATCTCTTAATTACCAACACCAGTGGGATGTGTCTATGGTAAACACAGAGGTGATTTGATTTGGCATGCTGCATTACCCTGTGCATTGGGAAGTGACACCACAGATACAATAGGTCTTCCTTGGGTCACCTTGACCAATCTCACAATAATGAACTGCATCATGTGCATCGCGAATTGCAGGACAGAAAACCTTGTCAATACACTAATGTTTCTCCATTTTTATCCGTTTCTCCTCTAAATGGCCTTTGTAGTCCATTCCTTTTCTTTTTTTGCTTGCAATATTTGATTTGATTATGTTTTGAATTGAAAAGATGATTTATCAGCGAGACTTTTACTGACATGTACTTAAACTATAAAACTCTCTTAGCACAAAACTGTTTTGATATAATTAAGCAAACTCAAAAAAAGTAATACTTAATGACTTAACAGTACTGAATGCATCACAAACACATGGTGTACATGTTGTTCTTAATTACTTCAAGAGTATTAAATTTGAATCTATGTTAAAACATTGTGTGTCTTTATTCTATTCGGAATATCTGCATTTTGATATTATGTAATTGCACTGGTGTATAAGGATGTCAGGTCCCATGATATCTCTATTGATTTTTGTTTACAGTAAACATTACAAACATTCAGTCCAGTCTTATAAATAGGAGGGTAGCTGGACAAGGTGGGGCAGTCCCAGACCTGAGAAACAAGTTGTTGGAAGCATACTTTTGAGGAGAGCTAAGGAGAGAGATTGTTTTGCTATCAGTAACGTGAGTTATGAGCGCTAGATTTTACATTTCCTTTTGATATTTCCTGCTTATAATCTGTTAAAAACGAGGCAACAACAGCGACAGAGGAAAAGAGAAAGAGACAGAGAGAAAGTCAAGAAGAAAGATCAACAGAGCACAAGCGACTGCATTCTTGTGACCTGCAACAATCTTCTATCTGGGAATCCACAGAAGAGCTTCTCTAGCAGGTAGGTTTCAGACCAAATATAACAATAAATTATACAGATAAATTTAGTCTGCTAACTATTTATCAATGTCTGGATCGATTAGATTCTCTACAGCTCTTATTAATTTAAAGCTATTTTTTTTTGACTGGCTGGTAAAAATTTAAAGGGGCACTCCAGCCTAACATTAGAGTTTAATATGTTTTTTTTTGTTACGCAGTATTCTGTAGTTCAGACTTTTATCCCTCAGCCTCAGTGCCTTGACAGAATTCACAATTTTATGTTGTTATTATGTTTTCCTTTGTCACTCTTCGTTTATTACATTAGTCAGGGTGCATTACACAAATACATCATACAACCATTGGAATCCCTGTGGTGTAAACCAATTCTGACTGCTAGTCTAGCCACAGATCAATAGGCTAATTAATTCTAGGCTCATTCGGTTATAGGCTATAGGCTAATTAGTGTCACTTACTTTGATTGTTGAACAAAATTGTAAAGAAAACAGTGACTCTATCATTATTCTGCACAAATGTTTTCACACTTCCAGCCATAGAAAAGAGTCCAAACTGAGGTAAGATGTCTAGATAGCCAGTTAGCTACCTTGCTAACTTAAGCTTTTAGCTTATTGTCCTCCTCATCTGACAAGGCATTTCTGTCACTTTAATATTCCTTTCTCTCCATTGTAATAACAATTTGGAGACAGTTACCACTGGTATACAGCTGCAATCAGATATTCAGTTTCCTAGCAGTAATGTGGCTCTTGGCTCTTAGAAATTTCTAACAGTCCTTTTCCAGAAATTCACACCAAACGATTTATAATTTTTTCCTCCCACTCTCAAAATATGTCATCAAAAAGTTTTTTTATCTAGTTTTTAAACTGGAAAACCTCACTCTAGAGAATACTGTAGACAGATGTGCAGATGTAGCAATGATTATATTTTTGATTTTGGCCAGATTGCCCTTTTAATTGTAATGGACAATAAAGTTGCCTGTAGTATTAGCATGTTGCCAGGATGGACGTAGTTTCAACAACTTATTATTTAAGTTTAATGATGAGGACAACATTAGCGTTTGTGCTACATTGTTATGGCTGCTCGAGATCATGACACGTCAGAACTATCTAGGAAACACTTATTTTTGTTGAAGCAATTTCCCTGAGTGAAGCTATTTAGCTTCTTTAGATGTCATAATGAATTTGGTTTCAAAATGTTTATTGTTTGACTTAAAAACAGAGAACAACAGAACTAAACTGGGAACATTTTTCATTGTTTATGACCACTGAGAAAATCCTGCCTACAATGGACAGACCCGCATTGTGAACAGGATTTTCTCAGGGGTCAAACACAATGAAATATCCAATGTACCTAAAACCTAACACAGTGCACTCAGAAGGCTCACACTTTGTTTATTTACCCATAACAGGGATGTAGCACCATGCTGCAAACTTACAGTGTTTGAGGAAGAGCAGTAAAGCCTGTATCCCTCTCATTCTTTTTGCGCACACCACTGTCAGTACTGGAATGTCAGAAAAAAATAGTATTATTATTATAAGGGGAAACCAAATGATATGACAGAACATGGCTCAGTGTAACGTTAAGAGTCTCAGTAATTTGAGATCAGTCCATAAACCTATTTAGACAAAATACGGTGTTGCACCAGACAATATTATGCAGACTGCATTAAACGTCAACTTCTGAAAAGCACAATAATAAGACATTCATGCTCTCAGGTAGAAGCTATGTATATTTAATCTTTTGCATTTCACATATTCATTTGGGGTGCTGTAATGGATATTTCCAGGACTGAATAATGAGGTTTGAGCTGAGTCATTTTGCCTCATTAGTTTTATAGACCTGTGAACATAGGCATGGTTTTAGGTTAAACTTACTTAATGTTTTTATTTCACGCTTTGAAGTCTTTGCATGAAGTACTCTAAGCTCAAATTTCCTCTCTAGGTTTAATATATACCCAGAAACTCTTCTTCCTTGCATACTTAGCTAAAAATTAAAACAACTGTTATTCAGTGTACTATATGAACCCATGTCTGTATTCTCTCTCCAGACTGAGCTTCCTGTATTTTGAAAATGAAGTGCTCTGTGAGACAGCTGCTCAGAAGTTACTTGAACAAGCGTCGGCTTTGCCAAAATCGTTTAGTGACCAAAGATGGTCACTGCAACATTGAATATGGCAATGTGAAATACAAAAACTTCTTTGCATATATTCTAGACTTCTGGACCACCTTTGTTGAGATCCGCTGGCGCTTTGTTATCCTCTTCTTTGTGGCCTCCTTCACTCTTAGCTGGTTCATTTTCGGGCTCCTCTGGTACTGGATCTGCCGTAACAATGGTGACCTGGCATGGCAAAACCCACCACAAGGCCACAAACCATGTGTACTTAATCTAAAAGGCTTGACCACTGCCTTCCTTTTCTCCCTGGAAACTCAGACAACTGTGGGCTACGGTGGACGAGACATTACCCCATACTGCCCTGGTGCTATTGCTCTCCTCATCATCCAGACTCTTGTTGGTGCAATTATTAACTGCTTCTGGTGTGGAGTGGTCATGACCAAAATTGCTCTTCCCAAGAAAAGAGTCAAGACCATCAGATTTAGTGAAGTAGCCGTCATCTGTCCAAACAAGGGCGCCCTCTGCTTGCAGATACGAGTGGCTAACTTGCGCAAATCTTTGATGATTGGCAGCCAGATCTTCGGAAAGCTGCTTCGGACAAAAGTCAGTTCTGAAGGTGAGACCACCATCCTGGACCAGGTCAATGTTGATTTCATGGTGGAAGCTGGGAAGGACAGCCTGTTCTTTGTGTGCCCTTTGACACTTTGTCATGTGATTGACAAAACAAGTCCATTCTTTGAGATGGCAGTGGACACTCTGAACCAGCAAGAGTTTGAGCTGGTGGTGTTTCTGGATGGCACAGATGAGTCCACCAGCTCCTCCTGCCAGGTCAGGACTTCCTACATTCCTCAGGAGATCATGTGGGGCTACAAGTTCCTCCCCATCATATCCCGCAGCAAAGAGGGAAAGTATTGTGTGAACTTCTCCAATTTTGCTAAAGTGGAACCAGTACCGACTGCCAGCTGTGCTGAATGCTTCCACAACGAGAAATGCCGTAAGCACCTCTCCACAAAAGGCATTGACAATCAAGGTTTTGAGGTCATTAACATTGGTGATCCTGCCAGCGTCACTAAAATGTAAAATGTGGACTGGAATGGAGGAAGTTTTAATATTGCCCCATTTTCTAATTTATCAACAAAATTTGTGTGTTCTTCATCAAGATCCAGGAAATTCCTTTGTTGTGCTGTAAATTCTATCATAAATTCATATGCTTGCTTTAAGTCCTAGGAATCAATTCTGTACAGTATCACTTAAGTTTAAGTGTCAAATGAAGGATTTGAATGTATTAGGTCATGATTTCTGATACAAGAACTTGGTCTCAGATTTAGAATTGAGGTTTTTATGTCAAATAGTGTCAAATGGAGAATTTGAATTTATTACTGAGATTTAAAAGTACTGATAATATGGATGATACAGATACAGTTAATTGCCTCTTAAGGCCTAAAACATACTGGTTATAGTGGGATTAGGCAGTCCTCCTGAAGTGTCACTGAATATATTAACTTATACTGCACTGATTGTATAGACACCTACCTCAGGTCATTAAAATAATGAAAGGCCTCTCAAAATTACACAGTGGTTTGATAGTTTTAGAACTAATTTCAACAGGAGTTTGGCACTCTATAAGAAGGACTGTCCAATGGAACAACAATCATGATCTTCACAGCAGTCTCACTCTTGCTACTCCAACATGGGACCAATTTATCAAGTATAAGTGTACATAAAGGTGATTACAAAATGAACAAATGGAAAAAATATTTACCTAATTTTGCATTTGCTGTATGTTTTTTTTTTTGGAGAAGTCACTATTATCAGCTAAATGAAAATATAAATAAAAATAATACATAAAAACAAATGTTTTTTTCTTGAAATTAAGTTGTATCCTAAAATCTAGATTTGGGAGTGTTAAAGAGTCCAAACACTGGTTAATATCATACACCAAGTTGTATCTGAAGGCAGAAATCTGTAAAACTATTACATACTAAGTACTACAGAAAGCTGTTAATTCTTTCATAGCACCAAAACATAAGTGACGCTATTCTTAAAGTCACTATTATACTGTTTAGCTTACATTTAGCCATTTATCTACACTTTATGAAATGCCATTTAGAAAGTTGAACTAGATCCCTTCAGATGTCTCAGTAAGTACCAATATTTCTCTCACAGTGAGGAGAATGCTCCACCTGAGCAAGGCTCTGAATTTCTTCAGTACTATCTTGTACCTGCCACTGACCGCTCAAAAGTGGCTGTACTTTATAAACACTCCCCCACACGTAACCAGACACAGACCACACTTGTGGTGGGGTAGAGCAAGCTTTTCACCAGAGTCAGGTAAAGATTCTTACAGGATGACTTTTATAGACTACATATTGGCCTGAAATCCCAGAATGCGTCACTGACCACTACACGGCCTAAGCCAGGGGTGTCAAAAATATGGCCTGCGGGCTGGGACAGGCCCGATTATTATTCTTATTCGGGCCACCAGAGGAATTTGCTATCCATGTTATAAATTAAAATAATCTTGTGGACTGTAACCCTCTTTAAGCATGAAATCTTCTGACAAGTGAATGAAAAATTCAGAACAAACACGCAGTGAGAACATGGTGGTTGTAAATTAGTCAGAATTATTGGACAAAGAGATGGTGGAAAGGTGTTACTGAATAAAATGTAATAACTGACACACATTATCATGCTCATCTGGGGGGCTGAACTGTTTTCATTTTATTACTGAAGCTGAAAAACAGGCAGCTTAATCTCAGCTAACATCAATTTTAATAAGAAATCATTTTAATTAATATACAATGCAAAATAACCTTACTAACCTTGCTAAAAACAATGTTAAGACCAGTTTGCTAGGCTAGCTATGTTAGTTAGCTTATAGCTTAACTGCTGACATTGCTGACAGTTTAATAAATACAGTCACATTAAACAAGACTGCGGGCTCATATTTGCAATTATGATATTCAGTTTAAAGATAAATAGCAATGCATTCCTTTGTATGCATTCCTTTGCATTCTTTGAAGTTTGCTAAAAGACCTTGTATAAAAGATGACATATCCTCAGCATCTAACACTGCACTGATTAACTTTAGTCTGACCATCTAATCTGCTCTTTTAGGTGATATTTGTTCAGTCAGTTTGTTCATTTAGAATGTACATTTCAGATAAATGATGATGAAATAAGCACATTTATAAGGAGTTGTTGATGTATTAGTGGCTTACTAAACTTATACATCAACAGCAAGATTTTCACATGAACAGTTAAATCTTGCAACATGCACTTAACTTAAGCAGTAATATAACAGTTTTTGCTGTTAAAGTCAGAAGTTGAAAGCCTGAATGTTTCCTTTTAGATTTTACCACTCATCAGGGTGTCCTTAGGCCCTTGCTTTTTTCTTCCTGCCTCCTTACACCTCTCTTTTGTCGTCTTCTCTTTGTCTTTTTGTTAAGGCTGAATAGAACAAAAACATTCATATTCTGCATGTTACTAGTAAAAGTACATTTGATTGATTGTTGCAAATAACTCTGTCCAGTCAAGACATTTTCAGTACAATGCTTTGATTACTAACAAAACACAACTTAATCCTCAGTTTTGTTATATATACATGAAGATGAAACCATGGCTCTTGGAATATTTGAAAAAAACAGCACTTGAATGGGTCATAAATCATAAATAGAAATAGATATTATTTAAGTTAAACCAACAAAACCACATAAAAACATTTCCTAAAGGCTAATGGCACAAGCTTTTTGACAAGGTAGACTGCTAGAAGCCAGGCAAAACATAAAAAGTTATCAAAGCAACCACTTTGCAACAAAATATTAACCTTCCTTGTTCAAATATGATATTATATACATATTAATTATAATGTAAAAAATGTCAAGTGTCTATTTTTGTGTCTATACATGACACTGTTGTCTTACACTCCCATTAGCAAATGTGATAATTTATCATGGACATAAGAAACTTTTAAAAAGGCACAGGAGCATCCCTAAACCTTTACACTTATTAAAAATATGAAGGAGTATAAATATGCATGATTCTTCAAATTGTAAAAGCCCCCTGCCTCTCAGTTTCTTTCCCCTGCCTCTTCCCTCCACCCAGCATGCCATGCCTTTCCTTGTTTAACCAGACTGAGCAGATGAAATGAAATAGAGCAGACACAAAAAAGCTCCCATTGCTAATCAGAAAATAGAGTATTCATCACCCAATACACATAAACCATAAACTGAAAAACAAATGCCAAATGCTGAGTGAGAAGAGTACAGTGAAACTGGTTATGCTATCGATAGCTTAGTAAGCTCATAACTTGACATGCCACAGAACAGATTAGATTCCATTTTTCTGTCACTCCAACAATAGTCACTCAACTTTACTCACCTGCATTTGAACATTGCAATTTGAATGGTCAATTTCAGACATATGTTTGATTCTCTAAATGTTGCTCCGATGGTGAAACCATGTCATGGTGATTGAAGCTGTTTTAGCCAGTAAGAGGAAAGAATATTGGAGCAAGAGTAGGCCTACATTAGCTGACAGCTTTATATGCAAAACACAGTGGAAGTGATATCATTAACCATAACTTAACCAAAGTACCCTGTGATTCAACTACATTGAGTTTGGAATGTTAAATTTAGTTATAATTAGGATAATATTCAAAAGTATGTGTTCATTTTTATAGATCTCTTAGACTATCGTTCTCTGAGTTGTCATTTTGTAGATGATAGCATGCCCAAATAAGGACTTGGACTAAATTCTGCCAAGGAAAAAGGGTGGTGGCACTGCCAATCTTATGTCAGTTGAATGAGAAAGAGTGCTCACTTGATTGTAACAATATTTACTCCTTAATGACCTTGTAATTTAGAGGACCCAAAGAAACTCAGAGCAAAAGATGTTTTGTTCTGTTTTTTTTATTTTTTTATTTTTAATTTTCAGCTTTGTTCTACAATATATGCCTATAAGAGTCCTCTCTTTTGCCTAGAACACAGATTTATAGCATTTATGTTACCTGAAAGATCAAACCACCTGTTGCTGTGGTGCCTTTTCTGGCTTGGGACAGGATGTGGGGCCGAGAAATGGTATTAACATATTGCAAGTGTGATGCAGAGACCATTCACGTATGTGGAAACTTGTAAATTACAGATTACTTACTACAGTTAGCTATTTTAAACAGAATATTGAGCAGATCAGCAAGTAGTAAATCTATCAGATATCTAACAGACAAACATATTTTCTGGCTTTAAGGATCTATTAATTTGTCATTTTCTTGCAGAACCTTGGGTTATACAGTAATTTGCAGTGCTGAATTAGGCAAATTATTTAAAAATATGTACCTTAAGTGTACAGATACATAAAACTGTAATACAAAACACTGGAGTCTGATCAAATGATTCACATAAAAAAGGCATTGTTATGACCGTATACCAATGGTGACTTTCTCTGCTTGAAAAAGATGAGCCACAGTCTTTAATGTACGATCAAGGTAGGTGGTGAGTGTAGGCACTGGTAAAAACCCAAGCAAAGCTGTTGTGCCTGATACAAGAGCACAGACTATCACATCAGTGTCACTGCTGTGCTAAGAATGATCCATCACCCAAAAAATATCTGCCTAATGGTGACCAGCTGCTTCTCCCTTTCCATTGATAGACAGGGAATGATGGTGACTGACAAACTGTATAGTAAGAGACAGGTTATAGTCAGTAACTATAAACCTACAAAGTGCACTTACATGGTAGGTATACCTCAAAATAGCCAATAAATGAGTAATTAATGTTGTATTTACATTATTTTGTACAAACATGTATGTAACTAGATGTTTTGAAAAAGTGATTAAGTGAATTTGAACTCAAGCGACTAGAGAACCTTCTAGTGGTTATCTAATGGTATTGCAAGCTATATTTGCACACTATTTTGATCTCCAATCTTGTGGAAATATTCTGGAAAAATGTGTTAAGATATATGACAAAGTGATAAAGAATTTGTTATGTGATAGGAAATTGCTTATTATCGTTTAAAAACTTTTATTATTACTTTTTTGCACATTGACAGAGACTGTTTCTTGTTGATACCAATTTTATGTTGCAATGTGTTCTTAATAGGGTTCAAGCAAGATGTGGCTTTAAGTAATAGTTAGATCTTCTCATGAGAAATAGGATTTGGTTTTTAGAGCTGTAAGAGTCCCCTCAGTCATCCACCTCAGTTAAGGCAAGTGATGGAAAGAGGTAGTGAGCTAGGACCAATTTTAAGGCCCCAGAGACTTCAACTGACAGGTTGAAGACCTTAATCAATCACTTGCAGCTGTCTTGAGTTCCACATGGACATAAATTTATTTCAGATCATGTTTATACACCTGATCCAAACAGGCATATAAACAGTACTGACCCTCAAGCAACACCTGTTGGAAGTATACCTCAGGCATTAAACAGAGACAAGTCCATGAATTATGAGAAATGGCTTTATTGTTAGAGGTAAAAACTCATCACTCTCATTGCTTCCACACAGTGAAGGCCACTTTCTCTTGTTTATCTGTATGAGCTCAAGAGCTTTTGAGAAATCACAATATATACACTACATATTTCTTAATGCTATTTTAAAACAGACTGAGCAAACTAATCACAAAACATGAGAAAACAAGTTTACTGTTTTCACTTTTTAAATGTAGAAAGTTTTTCAAATGAAATTATTGCCCAAAAGGAGCTCTCGGCAAAGGAAGTGAGTTTTTCATGTCGGCCACTATACCACTACAATACTCAGAGAAAATATAACTAATAACACAATTTTAGCTGCAAAACACTCCATGCATCATTCCTCATATAAACTGAGAAATAGCAACTATAATTGTCACCCAAAACACAATAGCAGAACTGTTGCTTTGGTTGTAAGGAAACCGGCATAGAGGGATTGCTCATATGTACCCAGTTTGGTTCCAATAACTATATAAACCGCACCAGAGAGAAGGCTACGCATAAATGTGCCCAGAAGTATTCTAAAAAAAGAAAACGGGGCCAAATTTATGCAAAGTCTTATATGCATCACAGGGGAAAGAAATATAGAGGGCATGTGTCAAATCTTAAATCAGTCAGTCAAATGTAGGCATACTACAGAGAGGAAAAAAGTCTACTAAAGCTTACACATCCTGAGGACTTTGCATGAACTATATTCCTAAATTCATGACCAATTAAACTGACAGAAAGTGCTCAATTCCCATGAAAATGTATGCTCTATAATTTCTTAAAATGGTATGTAAGTAGTATTTCAGTGGGGTGCTTGTCCTCTGTTACTCTCAAACTCTGATTATAATACTTTGCATTTCATACCTTTTACTATGGTTAATTTTACTGTTAGAGCATCTCACGTGGTGTGGTGAATTTTTTACATGACATGTAAAATAAGCACTAATTACATATCACCCACAGGTCAAAAACAGTCAAACAACTCAATGAAAATCCAGTTACTATTAGGACAAATTATTTTAATATGTAAAATGTTACATCTGGAAAAAAAAAATCAACCTAATCTAACCTAAAATCTAACCTAAGGAAATTATGCCTCTGCTAAGCAATTTACAGCAGGAACACCACATAAGAATCTGATATAAAAAGCAAAATTTGTGTATGATTAAAACAATTTTCAAAATTAACATTAATATCAGCAGCAGAAATAATGACAGGTAGTCATACTTGTATCCACGAATTCTTATTCAAGCTTAAGCAAAACGACATCGGTAAGAGAAACTCAACGGAGGCTACGACTCCTCATTAACGCAGGTCTTTTATCATTGGTCAAAAGAAATGGCAGAATTTTCCCATTGGTCCTGAAAGGAGGGAGAACGGCCACTCCAACGCCACAGTCCTCAGAAATACTATGGTGACCATAAAATAAATGGTGTTGAATTGAAGGAGTACTATATACATTAATATTTATGATAGAAACCAAATGGATAATCTTTCAAATACCTCAAAAAACATTAACAGTTCTAAAGTCACTGCTCCGGTCGGCGTCTGTTGCTAGGCAGAATATGTTAATATATGCAACGCGGCCATCTCTGCAGCTACCATTCTGAGGTAAGACCAACTTGAACGATTTTGTTAAAATAATACATACTCTAGTGAAATTGATCCCCGAACGTTAAGCACGGTTTCAAGATTATCTTTCTGTAAGTATTTTTGAGGATTTGGCGACCGACTATCTTTTCGCTGTTACAATATACATGTTTTTCGGTTCTCTTGAACGAGCTTGTTGTTGTGTAGTCCCACCCAAAATGGAGACTTTCCTTCCTTGTTCTACAGAAGGCACAGGGCTGGGCTCAACTATAAGTGGGGAGCGAAGGGTCTGTTTCTAATATTTAGAATCCTTTAAAAATCTGCTCCGTTTCGTCAAAATTATGGTAAAGCTCTGTGCCAACAGAGATATGGCTGTGTTCTTGTCCCTGTAATGTTAATGGCTACCTCTCTGGGGTTATCTTCAATAATGTTGGTGTTGCTGTGCACCAAATGCCCGTGTTTCTGCCGCTATGATTTTTGTGGTATGGTCCGGTTGGAACTCAGAACCTGAGGGGTCAAAGCAGGGGGGAAGAGTAGGAAAATAATTTAACCTCTATATTGTAGTAACACATTTTATAATCTGTGGTTTTTCTTTCACAGTTATAGCAAGGCCGTGTTATAGTATATTTGCATCCATTTTCGTCCGCGGCCGTTGGCACAGTTTCACCCGCGTTTCCCTTCTACCCCCGGAGAGTTATTAGACTGACCGTTCCTTGCAGTAGCTAACACGTTGGTTTATTATGGTAAAACCAACCCTCAGTCACTAGAAACGCGACTGCCACAGCTCGTGTAAACATTAGAATGATTTTAGTAGCTTCCATCCCATGAAACGTTCCCAGTTTGATAACGTCTTCGGTGTCCACAAGAGTGGGATATAGCCCGCTAGCAAGTAACAAAACTGCGTTCATATTTAGTATCAATTCATACAATCAGCTGCCTAGCAGTTTTTTCTTACCGATTTCTCTGATGAAGGATTCAGCCCTTTAGCTAGTTAGATAACTTTTCTCCAAATATTTTCCATTTACACTAGCCAGCAAGCTAATCGAACACAATAAAAACAAACATTTATGCTTTACTAGTTAAAACAGTAAGAATGCTTCTTTTACTTTAAAAAAATATTTTCTTGTCTCGTTTTTATAATTTTTCAGTGGCCTAAATTATAATTTGTCCCATTGAGCCGTTTCCAGGCTTAAGGTTCTAGTTTGATAGTATTGCAGCAAATGGAAAGCTCTCACTTAAGTGTTACATACACCGAATTTTGTTTATACTGTATTCTCTGTGCTACAATGAGATCTTAAAATGTTGTGCTCCCCATTTTTGTTGCTAGACTTCTTCCTCCCTTTTAGTTTACTCCCTGGTTGCTCTTTAGTGGTTCATGAGGAGGCACTAGGTGTGGGAGGTGATTTTGGGGTATCCTCAAAAAGTTGCTATGGAGGCAAAACGGGAATCATCCCCTGTGTGGAGTCAGGCCCCCAACAGTGAAGCCAGCAATCCCCCGCAGGTACATTTGTACACACATATCAGAGTTTTACCACTTCATATTTTTTGTTTCTTTGTAGTGTTCACAGAGTCAGAAATGTATTCTATGTAGTATGTTGTCTGTACTCAAACATGCCAGATTTTGATCAAGTTCTGTTCTGTACATTAATTGAGCATAACGCATGTTGTTATTTATTCACAAGCTGCACGCATTCTTTGCATATCCTACTTTTAATAAGCTCTTCTATGAAGTACTAATGTTAGTAGTTGAATTTGCTGAGGTGTTATGTGTTATTATGTGTTCTCATGATTCACTGTAGGTGCATTTTGAGGGTGGTGCAGTGGCTCAAATTGTATACAGTGGAGAACAGCCTGACAGAGGGCAGCAGCAGGTTGTCTACACTGCAGATGGAAGCTCCTACACATCAGTAGAGTCAGCAGAACACACGCTGGTGTACATACATCCTGCAGATGGAGCACAGGTGACACAGACTACTGTTAGATATCCATTTCAGATTTGTATCAGATCTGTATGTGTGGACATGCTTTATTTTTATTTTTATCTTTTGTTACAATGGCTACTGTGTGTTGGTCTATGATTTTCAGATAAAAATTAGCATTTTGGTTCTTAATGTAATGGTTTAGCCAAAAACGCAATTTTCCCCTTTCCTCCGAATGTAGTCAATCAGCCAAGAAATGCTTGATGTCTGAAATTTGAGTTTTGAACTGATCATCGCTTCCACTGAGATTCTGAATTTGGTTGTTTCTCTTCTTAGGCTGTGTTTGCAGACCAGCCCCAAGTGGCCTACATTCAGCAAGATGGTACAACTCAGCAAGTATGCACAGTCATATAAGATGTAGTTCTATGAGATTATTCTTGTAGTCTGTGAATAACTGTTAGATAATTGTCTTTTGCCTCAGGTCACTGTGTTGCTGCCAAGTGGCCAGAACATGAATGCTGCCAATCTACATGTGCTCAGTAATGTAGCAGATGCCCCTCAGGCTATACTAGAGCCTGTGGCACAGGTGAGAGTGAAGACATTTGTGAATGTTTCTCTTGTCAGCATCAATATATAACCTTCCATGTCATACTAGAAACACCGATCCAATGTTTTCTCCCTGATACCGATAACTGAACTCAAGATTAGGTCTGTTGCAAGTATTACATAATCGCCTGATTGGAACTATTTAAGCTGACAGCAGTAATTTTCTACAGTCGTTAGTGTTCACTCATATTGTGCTGCAACAAACAAAATATAAATTGGATGCATATTGGGTTGAGTTGAGGCAAATAAATGTAAATAAAAGAAAGCAATAAATACATTCATTGAGACATCATGAGCCTTATGAAAAATCTTTTAACCTAGTGCTCTCGCATATTTATGTGTTTCTTTTTTAGCTGTATAGGAAATTCTAATGTTTTTAGCATGTGTGCTGACAGAATGAGGGTGGCTTACATCGACCAGCTTTCTCATTAGGTACACCTCCTTGTATTTACCTTGTATCTTGTATTTTAACCTTGTATCTGCACGCTTTGTTCATTTTGTTACCACTTACCAAGGGGCAGTCATGGGCTGGAGGTTAGGGAACCAGCCCTGTGACCGGAAGGTCACCGGTTTGATCCCCTGAGCCGACAGTACATGACTGAAGTGCTCTTGAGCAAGGCACCTAACCCCCAACTGCTCCCCGGGCGCTGCGGATAGGGCTGACCACCGCTCCGGGCAAGTGTGCTCACTGCCCCCTAGTGTTTGTGTTCACTAATGTGTGTGTGGTGTTTCACTGCATTAGTCCCCGTTGTGGGACTAATAAGGGTCACTTATCTATCTTATTTATCTGTTATCTTATAGGTGCACCTTGTAGTTGTGTGTTTTCTTTGTATGTGATTCTTTTTGGCTTGAGTGCTTCCATTTTTTTCTCACACAAGGCCAGCACTGCTCTCCCTGCAATGACAGACCCTGCACCTAGTCCTCTGGGGGCCACAGACTCTACCGTGGACTCTGAAGATGAGGATGAGGATGATGACGATGACGATAGAGATGATTCTGAACTCGAAGATTGGGAACCTAGACTACCTCAACCTTTCACCCCTCAACATCTGTGTGAGTAGGGAGCATCACCAGTAATGTCACTAGGCATGGTAAAGAACTTTCAACATTTATCTAATTTCCATGCCATGTTATGATTGACTAGCCCTCAAAGATTTGTAGTTGACTTTTAAGATTTTACTTAAAGTTACTTGAATAATTCTCTTCCAATCAACAGTATTTAGTGCAAGCACCTTCTGGATTTTTGCCCCTTTTTATTGTTATTTCCATTGTAATTTTCTTTTCATTACAGGGTGTGAGGAATGTAATAATGCCAACCCTGGTGCATGTATGAAGCATGGCCCTCTCCACCCAATCGCTAACAGGCCTGTGATGTCCAGAGCTCGCGCCAGCCTACCCCTCATTCTGTACATTGATCATTTCCTGGGAGGAGTCTTCTCCAAAAGGCGCATTCCCAAACGCACTCAGTTTGGGCCTGTGGAGGGCCCTCTGGTGCCACAGAGTGAGCTGCAGGACACACATTTCCAGCTCAAAGTATGTTTTAATTCTGAGTTGAATATGATTTGTAAAGTTATACATTTTACAAATTGTGTCTGTGGGAGCTTGTAACAATTATATACGGTTGTATGCAAGACCCTGGTCAAATTATATTTTTGTTGATGTTCTAAGTGAAAATACACAAAGAACACATTCTCTTAAATATGGTGTTTTCTGCAATTTTTAATGCTCAACTTCTATTTGTTTGCTGAATTTAACATATTGAAAAAATGTAAAATGTGCCTTAACTTGTGCACAGGATGCAGAGTATGTGTTTACCTAACTTATTGTCACATAAATTGACCAGAGGCACCAAACCTTTTGATCTATGACTTTGAACGGAACCAAATGTGTTCTGTTTATATCTATTTTTATGTCTTGCTGTATGCGTGGTGTAAGCACACAGTTTATGTTTGTGAAAAGTTGTAAACAAAAATGGGTCTTAAAATGGGTCTTGAGATGTTCTCTGTTTAAATAGATTAGTAAATGAAGTATGTTTTGTAGTCTGCTCAGGCCTTGCTCTCAAACATACCTGTTTGTTTTCTCTGTTGTAGTTATGTATGTTGGACCCAGAAAAAGATGGTGAGAGAGCAGAGGACTTGTGGCTGGACTTGTCTGATGAGGATCGCTGCAACTGGATGATGTTTGTTCGGCCAGCTGAGAACCACCTGGAGCAGAACCTCGTGGCCTATCAGTATGGCTCAGACATCTTCTACACCACCATCAAGAACATTCAGCCAAAACAGGAGCTAAAGGTGGGCAATAGCAATGATACTTGAGTCCAGAAGAGGTCCAGCTCTGTAGAGTACAATCTATTTATTACATTTTAGTAGGATCCTAAAACTATGCCATGATTTATTTTGGATAATCTCATGTCACTGTTTCTGAATTTGACATATGTGCTTTCTCCAGGTCTGGTATGCTGCATCTTATGCAGAATTTGTCAACAAGAAGATTCATGATGTCACTGAGGAAGAGAGGAAGGGTATGAGATGTTGTTTTGTTTTTTTGTTTTTTTTATTTTTGCAAGTGACATGTCTCATCTGGTAAGGGTAGCTAGCCAAACCTAGAAAAGTGGTGTCTTACAAGACTTGTACCATGGTAATTGTTGAATCCAGCATTCTGGCCTAGAGCACAGCAGCACTATATTCTTCAGTCTCAGCTTGACACAATTCATAATTTAATTTTGTTTTACATGTTTTTGTTCATTAATGTTCTCTCACTACTATACTCAGCATCACTGGAATCGCTGTGGTGTCAAACTATCCTGACTAGTAACCTAGGCACTGATCTATAGGCTAATAAATACAGCCAAACCAGCATTATTGTGACTTCTAACTGGATCATTGCACAAACAAGTAAATAGCAAGTCCATCTTTATTCAGCACAAAATGGACAAAATTCAAAACAACCCTTCCCCAAAAATGCACCCCAGTTGTAGTTTTTCAAAATGTCCTCCCACCGTCAAGATCCATCATTAGAAGGGGAGTTTCCTAGCCTTTAAACTGGAAAATCTCCCTCTAGAGACTGCTACAGCACCGCTGTAAGAGATGAGTGGGTATATTTACAATAAATGTAAGGATGGTTACATTTGTCATTTTGGCCAGAGTGTATCTTTAAGCACAGTATAATGTGAAAAGTTGTTTACTGTTTATAGCTTATAATGCAATTCACCTGCTTACTCAGTCATGTCTTCTGTGTATGTCAGCACTGCGAGAGCAGGAGAAGAACTGGCCATGTTATGAGTGTAACAGGCGCTTCATGAGCTCGGAGCAGCTCCAACAGCATCTCAACATGCACGATGACAAGCTGGACCTTATTCAAAGGTTCAGCCCTTGCACACGCATTACACACATGGCATTAAATGAAGCACACAGCACAATCATTACTCAACAAAGGATATGTTATTTATCTGTGATGGCGTTTGTTTTGCATTCAGATGACTAGCTGTTTGCTGAAATTTATGGATGTCCTTTGTGTAGGCCAAAAGGACGAGGTCGAGGTCGTGGAAGGAAAAGATTTGGTGCTGGAAGGCGACCTGGACGTCGACCCAAATTTATCCGTCTAGAAACACCAGCAGAGAGCACGGATAAGACCCAGGTAACATCCTATTTAATACCTAAAGTGCTTTTATTAAGCTGCACTGAATTCACTGGCATTTAGTCAGTATTAAAATAAAAAAACTGCTCTTACTAATTTTGCCAAAAAAAAATGGTGGTTGTAGGACATACTGCCGTTTCCTGATAAACTACCATATGAGGAACCGGCAGGCGGGCCCCTGAATGGGTTGAAGATGGGTGAAATGGGAGACGATGCTGTGGGGACTGTGACAGAGGGAACAGTAGAGACCTCAGCAGGCCAGCCTGAGGCTCTTCAGGATGTGGATAATACTGACACCTCAACGACAACCTCTAGTGTTCCTCCACCTAATAAGGAGGACCAGTCTCTAGCAGCTGCTGGTGATTCCCATCTCTCTCCACAGGACATCAGGCGGGCCCGAAGGATTCGGGTAAGATTGAGGTCTGCCAATACAACACCACCCCTCATCCATCTGTGAAATATAGTGCATTTAGTGGGAGTGGGATTGATTGACAGAAGTGTGTGTGTCTTTCTCTTTCGCTGTGCGCTGCACGTTAAGGTGGACTTGCAGGTAGGTCTAATGTGGACCAGAAAGGAGTCTTAAGCAATTGTATTATTGTAATTTTTTTGTTACATTGACAATATACGACTCCTGCATCCTCATTACATCTGTCTGTATCAGTTCAGTGGTTTCTTCACTCCATCTGCAGACAGGAATATTATAATCTTATGCATACATCCCTGAAGGCATATATCATTAAGAGATGCGAGACATGGCTGTGATGAAATCACTGTTGTCCAAATTCAGATGCATTGCGTCATTACTTTCACCTCGACCTGAATTAAGCAAATATCCTTCTCATTTGTTCGCACCTTGGAGCTCCTACCCAAACTCATTCTCAAGGCTACTGCACACTGGTCAGCCACACCGTATTGCATAGCAGATAAGACAAAATGCAGCCAGAGCCCATTTTAAGTTAATAATTACTAAATTAATCTCGGTTTGTATAAATTAACTCTTCACAACTTGAGCAACTTGTTTATTTTATAAATATGAGATGGATTACCTTTTCCTATGTAAATTTCCAGTCTTATCTACTATGGATTTTTGCAGTCTTGTTCTGAGTTTAATGTAATGCAGTAATAGCATATGACAAGTTCTGCCCGAGGACACTGAGCAGTTCTAAAAGTTGCTGAGTCGCAGTGTGCATCAGTGCTGAACATTGGCAGTGGTGTGTGCACCTTTACCAAAAACAATGGTTTACAATTTTTTGACGCTGTGTGTTGTCTGCCTGACGTGTGCAATGTGCAGTAGCTTTCATTTTTTTATACCCGCTTATGTTTCCTTTTAGTCCTAATTGACATTTTTTGTCTCCTCTCTTTTCCAGAATGCCGCTCTGCAGCACCTTTTTATTAGGAAATCCTTCCGGCCCTTCAAGTGCTCTCAGTGTGGAAAAGCCTTTCGTGAGAAGGACAAACTGGATCAACACATGCGCTACCACGGCCGAGATGACTGCCGCCATGCCTGCCATCACTGTAACAAGGGTTTCCTCAGCAGCGCTGCTCTGGAGGACCACTTGCAACTACATTCAGACCAGCGCACCTACTCCTGCTTGTTTTGCACTGAGTCTTACGACAGACTGGACCTGCTAAAAGAGCATGTTGGGGTTCACCTAGTCAACGGCTGCTTCTCTTGTCCCTCCTGCAAGAAGACCTTTACTGACTTTATACAGGTTTGCTTCAGGACATTTAGGCCTGTTTTGTGGACTAAATTACTTGGTTAGTGTTATATATTAGGTGGAGGTGATATGCAAAAGTGCAGTTTTGCTAAATTTGTTCACATCTTAATGATACACAATACATCTCTCAATGTTTGGTTTTTTGGAGATTTGCTAACAAGTTAGAACAAACTGAATGCAGTAGCAAAAGAGTAGGACCAAAAAAAATCTGAATAACTATACTACAGTAGTACAGTAATTTTAATTTTATATTCTTGATACTATGTACTTAAAAGTTGACAGTGCGACACGTCTGGTTGTTATGTACAGACTTCTTACAAATTAGTCTAAGTTTCTTTTTTATGAGATGCAGTTGTTTAGTATCATCATATCACCCCCTCCCAAAATTATATAAATCTTAAATATTTTAAAATAATTTTTATTATAAAACATATGGAATTATATCAATTAATATTGACTGATTTTAAATTATATCAAATTATTATCATTAACATGTTTATTTTATATAATTTAATCTGTTTACCAGCAACTCTGTTGTTAAAATGTGCAGGTTAAGAAGCATGTACGCAGCTTCCACTCAGAGAAGATCTTCCAGTGTACAGAATGTGATAAGGCTTTCTGCCGGCCAGACAAGCTGCGGCTGCACATGCTTCGCCACTCTGACCGGAAAGACTTCCTGTGTTCCACCTGCGGCAAGCAGTTCAAGGTTAGAATGTTCAAACGTGGCATTGTTTTAATTAGAGCTTATTTAAAGTTAGTTCTGAAATATATACTACATTAGTAACTATAGTTAGGTGACAAATTAAAGAAAAAACAAATGAAGTTCTTTAGTAAGGTGTTGGGCTACCATGAGCCAGCAGAATAGCTTCAGTCCTCCTTGGCATAGATTCTATACATCTCTAGAACTTTACTGAAGAGACGAAACACCATTCTTCCAAAAGATATTCCGTCAGTTGGTATTTTGATGATGATGATGATTGAGTTCGCTGTCTAACACATCGGTCCAAAATGTTTCATAAGTTTTCATCTAGGATGAGATCTGTGAGGGCTATAGAATATCATTTACATCATTTTTATATTCATCAACTCATTCAGTGACCCCTCATGCCCTTGGGGTGGGGGCATTATCATCCTGGAAGAGCACAATCCCATCAAGGTACAAATGTTTCATTATAGGATAATGGTGATCAGTCCGAATAATGTATTATATGGAAGTGATTTGCACTGACCCTTCCCTCTAAAGGTATAAGTGGACTCGAACCATGCCAGCAGAATGTTCCCCACAGCATAATGAGCCACTAGAACCTCTTACTGTAGTGTTCAATTATTCAGGCCTGTACTGTTCTCTTACTCTACACATACACACTCTCATTTGTTAAGAATATGGATGACTCATCTGACCATACTTTACCAGACCTCTGTAGACCAGTGCCTGTGGTATTTACACCTCTCAACTCTCAATGTTCATTCATCTCCATGTCGTTGTGACACTGTGATCACATGCCAAGTAGACATTCTCAGTCACGTGAGAAACAGTTGCTCAGTATTTTTTTTGTACATATCACACTAATGTGTGATAAGATAGCGGCCATTTTATGTGCTTTCAGCTACAATTTCCAATTCTGTTTTATGATATCTTTCCCATAGATATAAATACATATGTCACTTTAGTCACTGTTTCTATTAAAACACAAACCAGTTGGTTACGGAGCGGACTCCGTAAGTGATGCTCCTGGCATTGGTACCCCAAAATGGACCTTCTTTCAGTGTCACATAAATCTTTCCTCTTGCAGTCTTTATCCAATATTTAGGTCAACTGGGCCTGTCCAACTTTTTTTTAATAAATGCCACAGAGCATGGTAGGTGTTAATTGCCTAATTGTTTCATGAAGGACACCTGTCTGGATGGTTCTACACTTATGTTCCTCCACCCATTTATTCAGGTTTTCCTTTAATTTGCCACCCATCTGTATCTCACTGGCTTATTTTTGTAAGTAAAGAGCTTTTTAGTACGTCCTTTTCAGTAGCTTTTCTGTTGTTTTATGTGTGAATAAGGCATCTCTAACAAACATGATTTTTCTTTTGATGGGTTTTGCCTTTGGAAGTTTAAGAAAAATTGGGCTGGTGAACTTCTGTGAATTGAACAGCATGTTGCATACTTTTACAACAAATGCTAGGGTCAGCTTCACTGTAACTATTTATTATTATTAAAGTCTATCAAAGTGTCTACTGTTTCTTGTGCAGAGGAAGGATAAACTGCGGGAACACATGCAGCGCATGCACAATCCGGAGCGTGAGGCCAAGAAGGCTGACCGCATCCACCGTACAAAGGCTCTGAAGCAGAAGGAGCCCACCACCGACTTTGAGAGCTTCATGTTTAAATGCCGGCTTTGCATGATGGGCTTCAGGCGAAGAGGCATGCTGGTGATGACCTTTACCATTCTCTACCTACATTTTTATTTGCTGGTAAATAATAAATGTTTGTATATGGGCATGAATTTTGTTTTTGCAGGTAAATCACCTATCAAAGCGTCATCCTGAAATGCGAATAGATGAGGTCCCTGAGCTCACCCTGCCCATCATTAAGCCGAACAGAGATTACTTCTGTCAGTACTGTGATAAGGTTTGCAACTGTTTGAATGTTCCTTTCACATATGCCTAAAAAGCTTTGAAGCTATTGCCCATCCAATCGTTAAATGACTATGTAGTGTCTTTTTAGTTTACAATCACAAGATCATTGAAAATGGACAGATTTCCTGCTATCTTGAACAATAAATGACATGTTTTACACTATATTGATCATTTTAATATTTTACAGTTTATGACAGATAATTTTTTTTGCCAGTCACATCGAGCAGTGCAAATAGATATAAATGGGAAAAAATGACTCGTGGAGAGACTTGGAATTTGATGCCCTAATCTTGAATTTGACACATTTGTCATATTTTACTGAATTACAGTGTTGTGGTTTTGTAAATCTGCAGGTGTATAAGAGTGCAAGCAAGCGGAAAGCGCACATCCTAAAGAACCACCCTGGTGCTGAATTACCACCCAGCATCCGAAAGCTTCGCCCGGCTGGGCCAGGTGAACCAGACCCCATGTTAAGCACGCACACCCAACTAACGGGCACTATTGCTACGGCGCCCGTCTGCTGCCCGCACTGCGCCAAGCAGTATAGCAGCAAGGTATGTGTATGTGTGTTTGTGTTTTAGTTGTGTTTTAATAGGTGTAGATCACTGCTCAGTGCCAGTCTCTTTATCACTATTTTTCCCAAGAAGTCTAATGGCATATAGTTGCTTTGTGTTGTGTTTACAGACAAAGATGGTGCAGCACATTCGCAAAAAGCATCCAGAATGTGCGCAGATAGCCAACAGCATCCAAGCTCCTCTGGCTACAACAGTCATCAGCAGCACTCCAGCTGTTATTACAACTGATGGCACAACAGCTGAGGCTGTGGTGGTGAGAACACAAACCCCCACATACACACATAGTAGCAGTGTAATGATGCACAAAGTTCAGAATTCAGTTCAATATGTTTTTTCTATACATCAAAATAAGCACCGCCTGTCTATTAGAACATTCAAAATTATAAACGTATCCTTAATAGTTTCTTGATCTAATGATATAGCCACAAGCTAATATAGCAGCCCCAAGCTAACACACTAGCTACAAGCTAACATGTTAGTCAATACAGTACAATGTGGTGTGTGTGTGTGTGTGTGTGTGTGTGTGTGTGTGTGTGTGTGTGTGTGTGTGTGTGTGTGTACACACACATACACACTCACACACGTTTAAACGTGCTCTGTTATCATCAGTGATCAGCAATCACTCAGAGTCGCTTTTGTCTTCTTAGACAACAGACCTGTTGACACAGGCAATGACTGAGCTGTCTCAGACTTTGACCACAGACTACCGCACAGTGCAGGGAGACTTCCAGAGGATCCAGTACATTCCTGTGTCTCAGACTGGAGGAGGCTTGGCCCAGCCCCAGCACATTCAGCTGCAGGTGGTGCAAGTGGCCCCGGTAAGAACACATTCCTTCACACTCTAAATGAGCAAGTCATTCATATACAAAAAGACCATTTACAATTGTCCATCTGTTCATGTATGTAACTTTTCGTTCTTCCTTTGTTCCTTTTTGACTGTTATGGCTGTTAGATTTTTGACTGTTTGTCTTCCCCTAGGCATCCTCTCCGCAGTCCCAGCACTCTACGGTGGATATGACCCAGCTGCAAGATCCGCATAGCTTCACTCAGCACTCCATCCAGGTGCAGCACATCCAAGTTTCTGAGGCCACAGGGGCTGTACAGGCCAGTGCACAGGTCTGCTTACATCAACACATGGGTTATTTACAAATTGCACATCCATCATTCAAGACCAAGACTTTTTTCCTGGGAGACCTGGAGTAGTAGTAGAAAGCTGAAGGTTTCACACTTAGCCTAAGAACTCTCCCCAAGCAAGTTAGAAATTCATGAGCCTGCCAATTTCTTTGACTGACTGAAGCAAGACATATTAACAGATAACCAGTGTTTACACAAATGGAAAATCCAAGTTCATTTTTTGGCTCTAATGTTGACTGCTGAATGACACTCAGAATGAGGAAGCTGAGTGTGTACATGGTCATTCATTTGGTCAGTGTAGTTGAGGAGATGAGACTAGCTGGGAAGTGGGAAAACACAGACATAAAAGGCTAGCTAACTTTAGCTTAAGTTAAACTGACTCCTGTAAGCTATGAAGTGTCCCTGTAGATTGATACAAATTGGTGTCAAACACTGAAATAACTTGCCAAGTTATCAATACTGAGCAAGATTTATTTACGCAAAATTTACATAATATGTTAATTTTTTTTAACTAAGTGATTTAATTTAATTGACTGATTGTGGCGGCCCTAAATGCAGCGCGTCTAATACAACTCCCAAAGGGCGTGTTTAGACTGTGCATTGGTGCTTGTGTTATTTTCCCCAATAACAACTAAGTTTAACATTCAGAGTGTGTCCAAATTTGCTGACCGCAGCTTGTCATAATGGTTAATTTGATTACTTGGTTGTTTATATTTTTCCTTCATATTAGGTGACTGGTCAGCCTCTAAGCCCCTCCTCTCAGCAAACGGCACAGGAGTTAAGCCCCGCCCAGCTGACCCCTGTGACTCTGGCCCAGAGCCAAACCCTACAGACATCCACCAGTCAAACGCAAGGGACAGTGCAGCATGCTTACTTGCCTAGCAATTGGAACTACAGGAGTTATCGTGAGTCTATATATTACACTGTCTCTCATGTTTCCCTCTTGTGCAGTTTATTTTGATTGTTGTGTCCACACAGTAAATTTGCCCTTTGTTAAAAACTGTGTAACTTTGTAGTGTTTGGTATCAGAGGTTCGTTCTCTCTCTCTCTCTCTCTCTCTCTCCTCTCTCTCTCTCTCTCTCTCTCTCTCTCTCTCAGCTTCTGAGATCCAGATGATGACTCTGCCTCATACTCAGTATGTGTTAGCAGAGGCTAGCACGCCAGTCACTGCTGCTGTCAACAGCAGCCAGGTCAAAACGGTGAGTGAAATGGTTGGACAAGTCAGAGGCTGTGTTTGAAATACACTGCTACATACTGCTTGTGTACTGTGTCTAGCCTGCAACCAACATGAATTTCTCTAGTATGCCAAAAATACCTGAATGATGGTACTATATGGGCCAAATGTTCCAGTATTCAGCCAGAGCTATCTTTGCAGTATGCTGCATCTTATAATGCAATGCAGAAAAGTGGCTAGCAGCAGTTGCTAAACATTGATTTAGATGGTTAAGGAAATGCAATGCAGTACAGTACATGGTACATGATGGTAATTGTGGCATACTGGATTCTATACTGCATAGTCATATGAAGAGTGGTATTGGGTATGCAGTATACACTTACTATATACTTACAGTACGCAGTATTATATTTCAAACAGAGTCACTTTCACATTGCTACACCTACTGTCGTAGTACTCGATTACAGTCTCTGTTTCGGGACAGTAAATTACCAGTTTCAGTCTTGTTTTGGTGTCTACATCATTTTGACCTAGCCTTGCCTTGGTCTTGTTACTACTGTGTTTTCATGAAGTAATAAAAATGGTGTATATAGTTAGGTTTACATTTGGCTTTATTAAAATCACCTCCTTGTTTCTACACTCACTGTCTATTTTATCAACTCAACTTATAGGGGCATTTTGTAGTTCTATAATTACGGACTGTAGTCCATCTGTTTCTCTACATACTTTGTTAGCCCCCTTTTACCCTGTTTTTCAGTGGTCAGGACCACCACGGAGCAGGTATTATTTGGGTGGTGGATCATTCTCAGTAGTGTGTGTTGCGCTGGTATGAGTGGATCAAGTTTCAGTTCAGGAAAAAAAAAATTGCCCTTTCTTCTTTTCACTTTTATAAGGACAAGGACTCGATGTGTCCAAGTTTCAGTCTTGACTTGAACTGCAACACTCCTGAGACCACTGATCCTTGTTCATGTATTTTAGACTAGTGAAACCTAAACCATTAAACATGGGTTAATTCTTTAGTCAGTGAGGCCCAAAGTGTCAGGTTTAGTCACCTTTTGTCCCAACATAGTAAGCTGCTGTTTACAATGGTAAAATTTAAATAATTTGGTTTTGTTAGGTATAATTTTTGTGACCCTCTATTTTTTTTGTTTGTTTGAGGTGCAGACTCACTATGTGATCTCAGAGGGGCAGGCTGAGCTGGACAGTAAACAAGTTAATGCCCCACCCACCACCAGCCAGGTACACACTGATCCATTAGAGCAGCCATCCACCAATCAACAGGCTACCACCCAGTACATAATCACCACAACAACCAACGGAGCTGGTGCCAGCGAGGTTCATATTACTAAACCCTGAACCTAGGTGCCTTTGAACATACATGCACTCAAACACTGAAACTGTTAATGCTAAATCTGATTACCCACTCTCTAACACCTGACTTGGAGCTTGGTTGGTCTTGGGATTAACTTCGGTCTGTAGATTCTGATGAACTGGTGAACTTTAAATGGACAAAGAGATATATGATTGATATTTTCTTGGACTTTAATAGAGTAAAAAGAATTATTGTAAAATGATGGAAACAACTTTATTTCATTATTATGAGAAACAGTGGAAAATTGATATGTGATTATGGCAACCCCACTAGCCCAAACACAGCATAAGCATGATCACTAACTGTTGCTCATGGGCTTTTAATTCCTGCTCAGCATCTTTCATCATTTTAACTGTAATTTGCAATGCTTTCTTGAACACTTAAAGAAATAATTGGAGCCTTGTGTAGAGTAGGTTCATTTAAGTCTACACTCTTAAAGTGTTTTTTCAAGGGTGCTTTAGTAAAGACAGTGGTTCTATATAGAACCATGAATGCCTAAAGAACTTGTTCTTTAGATTGATGGAGAATATGTTGTATATGGTTCTATTTACAACCTTTTTAAATGGATTCTAAACAGTACCAAAAAGGTTTCTTGTATTGTTACAGTGTCAAGCTTGTAACAATGGACAAACCATTTTTGGTGCTATGTAAAACCCATTTCCATAAGGTTCTACATAGAACCCTATACAACACGTCTATCAATGAGGAGAAACATTTCCTGATGTTAAGAACCCTTTAAGCATGCAAATGGTTCTTTGAGTGTTCATGTTTCCATATAGAACCATTGTGCTTACTAAAGAACCCATGACGAACCATCTTTAAGAGTTTATGTATAGGACTTCATTGAAGAACCCATCAAGGGGATTTTTTTTCTTTTTTAAATACGGGAATATGGAGATTTCCCAAAATAGTACAGGTCCGATTCTGTGAATTCTTCATATCATTTGAGTTCATTTTGAGGAGTTAGCATTTTTATTTAACACTAATCTAATGAGTGTTAAAACTAACGTTACTTACAGTGATGAAAACTGGGTTCATTATAAAATGTTACTAGATCAGAGGTCAGTTGACTAATGGTTTGTTATTGCGGACAACTCTCCAGCTGGTCTGGAATTGAGCTACATTAGCACAGTCACAGACCAAACTTGAGTTTGAAATTGAACCTCTGAAATGAAAAGGAGAAAAAATTCTGTTCTTGAGAACATTTTTAGCATCCTCTTTAAAAAGTGCCCTTTTGGTTTGTGGATATGTTTATTTGTTTATTTACAGTACTGTGTTTGTGTCGTGCACATGTACTAATGATCATTCTGTTTATCTAACTCTCAGTTCATGAACATTTGGTATTTATTTGGGACATGCACTTCAGCTAATGGTCAGCTGAATCTGTGTTACGCTCTTAGAAAAGATGGCGCTATAGGGGTTCTTTAGTGAAGAAAATGGTTCTTCATAGAACCATGAACACGCAAAGAACCATGTAGAATCATTTTCTTTACTTAAGAACCCTTGAAGCACCATCTTTCTTAAGAGTGTACATTAAAAGGGAAAACAAAAAAGTCACTATGTATACAGTGGGAGGCCTGTACAATGTAGTAGCTGTATTATTCTGATATTATTAGCCTAATGGCTGAGTTTACAGTGTGTGTACAGTAAGAACCTTGTGTGTCTCAAGGTGAGTGTGTCCTATTGTCAGTAGTGTTGGGAGAAAATAAACATGTTTTTTTCTACACTTGTTTAGTCAGGCTGCTTGGCGGAGTTCTTTCTAATTAGTGCTTTATGATTTATTTGTAAGATTTTACACAATAATAAAATTGGTAAATAATTAATTAGGGGTAAAAAGTTCCTGTGTAATTAAAAAAAAACGGAATTTAAAGGGGAAAAGTACTTCAGGCACTGGAGTAAAAACTGGAGGACGGTCAGTGGCTGTACATTGTGTACAATACTGTGCAAAAGTCAGATATCACCCTTCATGTAGTCAATTTCCAGTCAAAACAGCAAAGTTATTCATTTCTCAGGTGATTAAATATACAATAATCCACCCGCATAAGGACGGTAAAGTCAAAGTAAAATAAGTGCTGCCAAAAAAAAAAAAAGTTTCTAAATCTGGAGTGATTTAAAAAAAAAAATGAATAAAAGCTATAAAGGAAATAGGACTCCTAGCAAGCATGCAAAACCTGGTAGACCACCAAAACTGTCACCATCAGATAAACAGTACTTAAAACTTTCAGCTTTGAAAGACAAAATCAACCTCCAATCTGGTTTCAGATCTGCTAAGGGTCTGGAAGGATGTGTAGCTGTGAAGAAATAAAAGAAGCTGCTGTTTTTTTCGCAATAATAGACTGTCCATCCCAGAGCTTACAGGATAAACAACTTTTAAACCTTAACTTTGGAGATGTGGAAAAATGTCCCTGCATGTCCTATATGGTAAGTGGAGCTGATAAACAGTGAGTGTAAATACAGTGAAGTGTTCCTAATAAAATGCTCAGTAAGTATATATACCAGTGATAAAGGAAGAAGACAACTATGGAAATTTTGACCTAAACTAGAAAGCAGAGGGGAAAATTGTGTTTTAAATAAATCATTTTTGGTCACCAGGACACCTAAATATTTTAAATACTGTATGGAAGCATAAAAAGGCCTTTTTGATAGGAGGAAGACCTGCAAGAAGACTTTTTCAAGAGGTGTTGATAGAAACTTATGTAGAACAGTTGAATACACATTTATTCTTTAGTGCATGTCTTAAAAACATCAAAGAGTAGTATGTAAGCATTTTCTATTGATTGTGTACATTTAAAAAGGCAACCATAACTTGTCACCAAACGTCATGAAAATCACTCATTTCTGTCAGTATGAGGTTCCATGGGTTATGTATCGTGTACATGTGAGTCATACATGGAGTTATGAAATTACTGAACTTTGGGAGTGGGACCATACCTGAGGTTCCTTCTCCTTCAAATCAAACGTCATAAAAAAAATCCCTCTCTCCGTCCTACCTATGATTACGTTTTTGCCCTGAACTCTAGCCCAAGTTCTGAGAGTTCTCTCCCCTCATGCCATAAACAAACTGAATGTCATATCCTTGTGAGACCTGGTAAGGCATTTTTGTCCACTGTGGGGGACATAAGTCCCCAAAGCATATTTCAAAAGCCGTATGAGCTACAGTGCTGAAACCTGATGTGCCATGTAGAGGACATCCTGGCCTTTCCAACGATATTTGTTGGTGTGTTACTAGCAACAGGAATTCTGCCTTTTTAAAATGGCTGCCATCTTAGCAACCACATTTTATGGGAGCAGGAGAAGTAAGTGGTTGAAAAATATGCATTTATGATGTCTCTAAAGCCTATAGTTGATAGGTTTTATGTAGAAAAATGTTTTGGCTATCTATTTTTTTTTTTCTTGGTCCTCATTTTTTTCTACCGCCAGTATTTTAAGTATTACTCTTACTGCTAAATAGACAATTGGAACAAGTGTATGCAGGCATTTAAGCTCGGGATCTGAGCTTTATTTAATTTGCTAATTTATTAGAAAATCTCTTTTTGCGTAATTGTACATTTAAAACATTAAATATAAATTAATTCTCTTCCCTGTCCGTTCATACCTAAGATTCATCCCTACCATGGAACAGTTTGCTGCTAAATGACAACACCCAAAGTTGTACTGAATTACTTTGAGCAGTACATTGGTGAACAGGACTTTGAAAGACAAGATTGACAAGATTTTTGAAGTTTTGCAGCAGGGTTTTGGGCTGATGCAGTATAGGAAACAAGAAAAATGACACCAACATAATTACTATCCAACGTCCTGTTGTTCACTATAAAGGGACATTACATAAAAAAATAAAAAGTGTTTTTGAAAAACATTTCAGTGTGACGTTTTTTTTTTCAGCCAATAGACTTTTATCCTAAAATTACAGAAATTCTCAAACTTTAATTTTTCTGGGTCTCAGGAGGATATAGTCTCTTCTCGTACTACAACAAATTGTTGAAGTCATAGTCTGAGCTCACAAAGAAATAACATTTCCATAACGTTTATCAAACATATTTACCAATGGATCTATCCACACCTCCAAATGACATGCTGGAAGTTGGGCAGATAGGAGCTGTGTATCCAACCACATTCCACACATTCTTTCACTGAATGAAAATTCACAAAACAAAAGCCACTAGAGCAAGTAAAATTAAACCTGCCAGCCTAACTGGTGCTACAGGACGAACGGGTCTTTTCCCTCTAATGGAGAACTGTAGACACACAGAGAGTGAGCGTGTGCCAATGCAGGAGTGTGGCGCTGATGCCTCAGCTGACAACGGTGGATGCGAGGGACCGTAAGGGGTATGGAAAGGAGGAGAGGGGAAAAGAAGGGGGAAGGAAAGAGCAGGAGAGGACAGAAAGAGTGCAGAGTTGGAGCTGGAAGAGGTGAGTGTAAATCATGTATGTGTTTGTTGCCCAGGTTTGAGGAACTGATGATAGATGGATGTGTGTGTTTCTGAGTGTGTTTGTATGGTCGGTGTAAAGTGTAGGCAAACTCGCATGAACTTTTCCCTGCTTATATTCATCATTCATAGTTTCTGCTCCTTTATGGGTAATATCCATCATCTCCTCCTCTGGAAGCAGTATATTTGTCCAATATTGTGCACTCACACCACACAGTTAGTTTAGCCTGGCTACAGGTACTAATATATGACATACGCCAGACTTTCTCACAGAAGAGAATTCATGACTCTGAAAATAAAAACGGGTGGGCCATTTTTAATACAGCAGTGATAATGATATAGTGGCATCTAAAAGTTAAATACCTCTACCCAAGGAAGAACTGACTAATTAAGACATTTTCTTTGATGGACAGAAACTATAATTTACTTATTGAATCTATTTACTGACAATAATAAGCATTTCTTCTTCTTCTTCTTCTTCTTCTTATTATTATTATTATTATTATCATCATCATCATCATCATCATCAGTAGTAGTAGAAATAGTAGTAGTAGTATTGCAGAAACCTGTGCTGTACTAAGGAACTTTAGTTCTTCTACGAACTGATTGGATCTGCTGCCTGCATCAACTTATTAATAGCAAGCAAAAGAATATAAACACACAGAAAAGTCATTAGACACAGTTGGGAACACAGATTACAGGGCAGCGTTGTGAACAAAACATGCAGACATGATAAAAAGGAGACAAGACTGAGCAATATTGCAACAAAAAGCTTGCAATATTGACGTATTCGTCTTCTCTGTGTGGCTGGAGGTGTGGAATGACTCACACAGCAACTGAAATGTAATCAGAAGGTGGATTTACTTGTAGATAGAGGCTTGCCACAAAAAACATGCATAGGGAGAAAAGTGCTCTTTCTCAGTTCAGTGGTATAGGCAAAAAACCATTCACACCGAGGAGAATGAGCACTGAACTTACAACAACAAAAAAAAATACTCTTCCGAATATACTTCCCACTAAGACACGTATAGCAATGCTACTGGCTACTGAGCAACAACACTGTGATAACACTAACATTAACACAAAGGCAACTGTACAGCTAGATAACTGCACAAAATCACCATCACTACAATACTGAGGCACACTGTGAAGTCCACTGTTACGTCAGTTTATTATGCATACCTTCACTACATGGGTAAAAATATTTGGGCTCTCAAAGTCATACCCTTGAACACTTGCTGAATGTCTCATTCCAAAATCAGGGGTATTAATAAGGCGTTCGCAACCACTTTGCAGCAGTAACAGCCACTTCTCTTCTTGGAAGGGTTTGCGCTAGATTTTGGACCATGGCTGCCGAGATGTGCTTCCATTCAGCCACAGGAGCATTAGTGAGGTCAGGTACTGATGTCAGGCAATGCAGTTGAAGTTTTAGTTCATCGCAAAGATGTTGGATGGGATTGAGGTTCTCTGTGCAGGCCAAGTCCCCCCCCCCCAAACTCACTAGAACATTTCTTTATTAAGTTTGTTTTGTGCGTGGGGGAGTTGTCCTGCTGAAAAAGGAGTGTGCCCCAAGGCTGAGGAAAATGGGACAGGTCTTGAGATGGTTCTGATTGGCTCATTTCTGGTTGTTGGTGCAATTACAGTTGTTGGTCTTGTTGCTTCCCTGTCCTGTAGTACATGGCTTGTGTTGTATACTGGATACTGTTCTGTATACTACTGATGAAAAGCAGTATGCAGTATACAGTACACAGTATGCTACTTCAAACACAGCTACAGTCGCAACCTTTGTTGGCATGTAAGGTTCAGGCACTGCCTTCTCGCCCTCTTTTGAGCCTGTCGTCGGTGCCCGTGGGTTGGCTGACTGACACATCCACTAATTAGAAGGGATGTCCACATATTTTTGGCTATGTAATACTTTAATCAGGTACTCCTACAAAACAGTCCTCTGCCAAAACCATCAATGGCCCATAGAATCATCAGTGACCAGATATTTTTTAGGTGGTGGACCAATCTAAGCAAAGCAGTGACACTGACGTTTGTTTTTAGATCTTGTTGTTCAAAAAAATTAACAAAACTAATGTTAAATGGTTTAACACATTTAGAAATTAAATGACAGAACAACCTTATCCTGATGATGCTGAAATGTGAAATGATTTTCTTCTTGACCTGCGACATTTTGTATTTTTGTATTTAACTGTTATGTATTATTATTTATTATTTGTCACAGAATATATTAAATGATTTAGAAACATTGTTCATTTTATTTTTTTATTCTAAATCATTGAATTAAAATTGTTTTAAGGATTTGCATAAATCAGTTTTGAGTCCTATGGTATTTTTTGGGTCAGTGCTTTTTGGTTACGAGAAGCAATGTGTGAAGATGAAGTGGATAGTCCAAAAAGCTTTTGTTATGATTGGAAAACTATAGTTTTGAGAACATTCCCCAGGATTCCCCCCATGGCTGCAAAGAAATATAAACGTCATATTTAGCTTCCTAGCAACAGCCAACAGCCAGCTTGCAGCAAAAAACAAAACAGAACAAGAACATTGTTAACATTAAAAACATTGTGCCCTAAGGTATCCACCCCAAAGCATGTGTAGTTTTTTCAAGATATATCATCAGAAGGGGGTTTTCCCAGTCTTTAAACTTCAAATCTCGCTCTCAAAACTATTGTGGCAACACTGTAAGAAGCAAGTAGGTATGTTTACAACAAATGTAGCAATGATTAAACACTTTATTTTGGCTGGAGTGCCCCTTTAAACTGTCAATAAGTGAACAACTCTATGTATATTTCTAATATTTTCCTTATTCATGTTTGTTTTTTTAGTTTTCTTCATTTTAACGTCAGTACTGTCACTTAACTTTTCAGTCTGCGCTGGAAACACTGGCCCCTCTGGGCTCCAGTGTTTGGCCCAGGTGGCAGCACTGTGGCTGGTGGTCCAAGAGGAGGCCCCACTACACCCCTCAGTCAGTCTTCTTGAGTCCGGGTACAGGTTATTGCTGGCTGGCTTGCTGTGGGCGGGCCTTGGCCTTTGTGTTTCTCTACTCCAATTTCTTTACCACTACAGGAAGACACACAAGCAGGTATGTTAAAGTATGCACCAAAATGATTTACGTAAGTCAGCTTGATAATAATTTGTGTGAATTAATTTCTGAAGCTTATCCAGCCGACTTTTGTAACATTATGTACTTTTCACTAATGATGTCTTTTTATCATCATCATCATCATAACTTTTTATTTATGTAGCACCTTTCCCATAAGAATCTGAAAAAAAACTATGTCACCTTTTTGCTTGCGGTTGTATATCCTTTAGCATATATTTTAACATAAACAATGGGTCATCTGTGTGATATTAACAATAGGCTAATATACTGTTTTCACAGGAGAGCAGAGAAGTATCCCAGAACAGTGAGAACAGTGAGGTGGCTGTGAGAGGGCCTGAACAAGTCCAGCAGGCATGGTGAGGAAATAAAGAGAGACAAACAAACAAAACATATCTTACAGGAACACACCTTGGCACCACAACCTTGTTTCATTTTGATTGCTCAGCCACTCGTATGGAAAGTTTAGCAGGTGAAGCTTTCTCATTGCAACTGGCGCAGTAATGCACAGTTCACTGCCTGTCAGCAGTTTGGGGGACAACTTGTGTTCAAGTAGTGTTTTCACAGACTTAGGGTGATTGATGCTGTAACAAGTTACAGAGCAAAAACTGCTTTTGAAGTGTTCAAGGATAAACAAAAATCTACATAATCTTTATTGTTTGGATGCTTTAATCCTTTTGTGCTGAACTTTGTAATCGATTGGGCAACACTGAACCACAGTTTGAAACACAAACCTGAAATAGTGTTAAAAGAAATGCTTTCGGCAGAGGGCACTATTAATGCACATGACCTGCTTATACCAATAAAGTCGTTTCATTTTAATTTTGTTTACATGGTCAGGTACAGGCATAAAACCATAAAGCAATGCCATTACATATCATGTTTAAGACATGATTAAGATTGCAACAATGACAACTAAGAAACAAGAATTCAGCCCAAATTCTTCTCATCTCCTTCATGTCTACAAAACGAACGTACGGTTGATTACTTTGATTGGTAAATGTAGGTGGGACTAAAGCGCTGTCTTCACACCATTGGTTAAAATGCGTGATCATGTGTTTTTTTTTTTGCAAATCTATTCAGTTAAAATAAGAGTCTACCTTTGTTAAACGTGCTGGAATTTCATTTTTTTGCAGATATAATAATTTTTGTTTAGTTTGAAAATGAATAATAAACAACTATATGCTATGACATATGAAATACTATGTGTACTATGTGTGACAATGTGTAATTATGAGCCTTAAAAACTTAACATCCAGTCCAGAATCATATTTTATTATCTCAAATGCTACGTTTATCCCTGTGGTGTTGTTTATGTACCTGTAAGGATTCTCACTAGGATTTTTCTTTTTTACGAGACTAATTTTATTAATGCCTGGTAAAATTGGAGTTCTGACTAGTTATAAATTCAACTTCAGATATCTACAGCTGACTTCTTACTACTCAGAACTCATATTCAGCATATCCTAATTTGTAGAGGACAGCACACCTCTTTTCTGTCACATGCTTAGTGTAGACCATATTTCAATTTAAAAGTCACTGATGGTGTATGGCAGGTTACTCCCATGTTTGCTGAATAAAATTATAATAATGGTAGCTCACTGCGTAGGGTTAAAGCCTTGTTATCCCACATGCAGCAGTCTATCTTTGCACTCAATAACTTTGACCTTTGCACAACGTCTGCATAGTGTCTGGTGGACGAGGCAAACCTCTTGCCAACATTCACCTGCATTTGGCATTCTCATTGATCTTTTAATTGATATAATAATGCATTTTTCAAGACATGCAAAATTGTATACCTGCTAATACATTTTTAGCTTATTTGGTCAAATTCTGGTTAACCTTTTAATTTTTTAATTCGTTGGCTGTGCAAGACATAGATTTTAACCTGAACTAGACCAGAAAAAATAACTTTGAATAAGCCTAGTTTTCATTTAAACTGGAAGAACAAAAGCAACCCATCTGCAATAACTAGTCTCAGAAACAACCTGCTGTTTATTTACACTGGCACATCCATCAGGCACACTTGATAACAAGTCAAATCACACATTAACCTACTTTTTAAACTATATGGTGCAGTACAACTAGATCTAAAATAAATCCTAGATAATAAACTCTTTACTCTTTAAACGCTTTATTTTAGGGTCTAACCCACCATAAAAACATCACAGCCAGTAAAACTACTTGGCACACCAATTAGTTAGTTAAACTGTTGATCATTGGCGATAATTTAACTAGGGTCGCGGTAGCAGCTGGGAGAGCAGAGAATCCCAGACGACCCTGTCCCCCGCAACTTCCTCCAGCTCATTCCCAGGGACCCCAAGCCGCTCCCAGGCCAACCTGGAGATGTAATCCCTCCAGCATGTCCTAGGACAACCCCGGGGTCTTGTCCCGGTAGGCCGTGCCTGGTACACCCCCACCGGGAGGCGTCCAGGGGGCATCCGGATCAGATGCCCGAACCACCTCAGCTGGCTCCTCTCAATGCGGAGGAGTAGTGTCTCTACTCCAAGCTCCTCCCAGATGGCCGAGCTCCTCACCCTATCAAATAGAGTGTAGCCCTCCACCCTGTGAAGAAAGCTCATTTCCGCCGCTTGTATTCGCAATCTCATTCTTTTGGTCATTACCCATAGCTCATGACCATAGGTCATGACCGGGGTCGCAAACTGCTCCAGTGCACGCTGGAGGCATCCATGTGATCCAGCCAAAAGAACAACATCGTCTGCAAATAGCAGAGACTCCACCCTCCGGCCTCCACACGTAATGCCCTCCTGACCACGGCTATGCCCTGACACCCTGTCCATGAATATCATGAACAGGAGTGGAGACAGGGCACAACCCGGGTGGAGTCCAACGCTAACACTGAAAGAGTCCGACTTAATGCCGAGTATATGAACACATCACACTCCGGCAGTACAGAGATTGAATGGCCCAGAGTAGCAGCCCCGGTACCCCATACTCCCAGAGGACCTCCCACAAGATATTTTGGGGAACACGGTCGTAAGCCTTCTCCAAATCCACAAAACACGTGTAGACTGGGTTGGCAAATTCCCATGCCCCCTCAACAATCCATGAGAGGGTGAAAAGCTGGTCCATTGTTCCACAGCCTGGACAGAATCCGCATTGTTTCTCCTCAATCCGAGGTTCAACTATCGGTCGAAGTCACCTTTCTAGCACCTTGGCATAGACTTTCCCAGGGTGGCTGAGCAGTGTGATACCCCGATAGTTGGCACACACCCTCCAGTCCCCTTTCTTAAAAATAGGGACCACCACCCCGGTCTGCCAGTCCAAGGGTACTGTTCCTGAGGTCCATGCAATATTGCAGAGGCGTGCCAGGCACGACAGCCCCACAATATCCAGAGCCTTAAGCATCTCCGGACGAATCTCATCCACCCCCGGTGCCTTGCCACTGAAGAGCTTGCCAACTACCTCAGTGACCTCCACCAGGGAAATGGAGCTTGACACGCCAGAAGCCCCTGGCCCTGACTCCCATGAGGGAGGCATGTCTCCCGGATTAAGGAGTTCCTCAAAGTGCTCCTTCCACCGACTGACAATATCCTCATTTGAAGTCAGAGTTTCTCCACCCTCCACCCAGAGTTTCAACCCTGCCGAATACAGCTTGGGCGCAGCCACCCTGACCTCTCCTGAGTCGCCGAACAGTCGTCCAGAACCTCCTTGAGGCCGACCGAAAGTCTTTTTCCATGGCTTCTCCAAACTGCTCCCACACCCTGGATTTTGCTTCTTCCACCGTTGCGGCTGCCACCTTTTTTGCCTGTCGGTATCTATCTGCTGAGTCGGGAGTCCTTCGGGCCATCCAGTCCCTAAAGGCCTCTTTCTTCGGCTTGACGGCCTCCCTCACCCCTGGTGTCCACCAGGGGGTTCTTGGGTTACCGCCCTGACAGGCACCAACAAGCTTTTGGCCACAGCTACACCCGGCAGCTTCCACAGTGGAGGTTTTGAACAGGGTCCATTCAGACTCCATGTCCTCTACCTCCTCTGGGACATGAGAAAAGCTCTCCCGGAGGTGGGAGTTAAAATCTTTCTGAACAGGGGCCTCTGACAGTCGTTCCCATCACACGCTCACTATTCGCTTGGGCCTACCGGGTCTGACCATCGGTCTTCCCTGCCATCTGATCCAACTCACCACCAGATGGTGATAAGTTGACAGCTCAGCACCTCTCTTCACCCAAGTGTCAGATGAAATGACAACAAAGTCGATCATTGACCTATGACCCAAGGAGCTCTGGTACCATGTACACTTATGAACATCCTTGTGTTCGAACTTGGTGTTCGTTATGGACAATCCGTGCCTGGCACAAAAGTCCAATAACAATTCACCATTCAGGTTTAGAACGGACAGGCTGTTCTTCCCAATCATGCCTTTCCAGGTCTCCCAGTCATTGCCAACATGAGCATTGAAGTCTCCCAGTAAGACTATGGAGTCTGTAGGCGGGACCCTTTCCAGAACCCCGCCCACTTGCTCCAAGAAGGCCGAATACTCCGACCTGTTGTTTGGTGCATAAGCACACACAACAGTCAGAGTTTTCCTCTCTGCGATTTTAATTCGCATTGAGGCGACCCTCTCATCCACCAGGACAAACTCCAACTACACAGCTGCCAGCCGGGGACTCGTGAGTATCCCCACACCCGCCCGGCGCCTCTCACCCTGTGCAACCCCTGAGTAGGAGAGGGACCAGCTCCTATCAAGGAGTTTAGTTCCAGAGCCGACACTGTGGGTGGAGGTGAGCCCAACTATATCTAGTTGGTACCTCTCAACCTCCCGCACAAGCTCCAGCTCCTTCCCCCCCCAGTGAGGTTACATTCCACGTACCAAGAGCCAGTTTCTGCCGTAGGGGCCTAGGCCACCAGGGGCCCCCCCGCAATCTCCCACTGCCTATACGGCACTGCACCGCTCCCCCATGCTGGAACTTGCGGGTGGCGGGCCAACATGGTCTTCCCACGTTGCCTCTTCAGGCTGAGTCCGGCCGGGTTACGTGGGCTGCCCGGCCCCCAGGCGCTCGCCGGGGGACACTACCCCCAGGCCTGGGTAGGTCCCGGTGACCCTCTCCCGGGCAGGGTACACGATTGTCCATGTCCATTTTTCATAGAGGATTTTTGGATCGAGTTAGTCTGGGTCTTCACTCCAGACCTGTTTGCCCTGGGAGACCCTACCAGGAGCATATTGCTCCCGACGACTTAGCTCTGAAGATCCCTAGACCACACAAGCCCTTCCACCTCGACAAGGCCCCAATCCAGGAAGGGTATATATATATATATATATATATATATATATATATATACCCTTATATATAACATATACACACACACACACATATATAACATATATATGTATGTATGTATGTATGTATGTACCTATGTATGTGTGTGTGTGTGTATATGTTATAATTCTACATTTAGATATCAATAATATTAATCTTATCAGACAAGAGAATCCTGTATTATACAGATCTGAAACTATGCATATCTCTAGTGCCTATTATAATAGTCATAACTAAATTAACGATGTATTCAATTAGTATTTCTACTAGTGAAAATCCAAATTGGAAGATTCAGTGGATATCTGGACCCGGATTATTTACTAGTCAAAATTAAAGTGTAAATATCTGTAATTAGAATTTCTACTACTACAAATGTAATTGTAGATACCTGTAATTGTATTTTTGTAATTATAGATAAGGCAGAATGAAATTCCATGTAAATCAATGGTAACATATGACTAGTCAAAATTACATTATGGATGTGTCATCCTCGCAATATGACTAGTCAAAATAACTTTATAGATATGTATACTTGTTATTATGGTTAGTAAAAATTACATAGTAGATATCTGGAGTCATAGTTTTTACTAGTAGAAACTGCATTACAGAGCTCTTGAATAAATACAGAGTTACGGCTTGTATCGCTGGTGTCATTTTAGGCTAAAATGGCTTGCCATAAGTTGTCGGCTTGAATATTTTAGATTATGAGATTGGTGCCAAGAGAGTGATTTAAAACATTTTGGCAGAAATTACACAAATTTTGGTTTGGCATGAAACTATGAGATCTGGCCCTGGTGTGTGAGTGTCATGGCTGGTGCGTGAGACTTGATGCGTATGTTTGTATGAGAAAATTTTTAAAAACTAGGTGACTAAGTTTTGATGCACAGTGAATGTGGGCCTTGTCTTGTGATATGTTTTCTCTTAGTTTATGTTATGCTTGTGTTCTTTATCTTTGGCCTCTTCAGTCAGCAAGACGCAGGTCATCTTGTAGCTATGGTCAGTGCTCTGCTGGATGGCATGGTGGTCTCCCTCCTCCATGAACCCCTGTCCAACTCCAGTCTTTCACAGATACGTGGCCTCCTCACCAGGCTTGAGGTCAGTGAGATCTCTCTAAATATTGTAGCTTTCTGTGTGTGCATTTTGTAACTCTTGGGGCATTTTTGACTGTTTTTGCAAGACAGAGTAAAAAAAAAAACTAAAACTAGGTCAGTTGGCCTTTAAAAAGCAGCCTGAATGAATGTTTTGCTATCTAGGTAGTCACCAATAGGTTGTTCAATGACAATATGAAGTGAAACCTGTTAAACCTAGTTCATCAGAGCCAATTTAGATGTGCTGGCATCAGTCCATTCCATTTAAATGGGTTCCTTTGCCCTTGCTGAAATGTAAAAAGAGCCAGCACAAGTAAATGGAGCGTGTCAATGATTAGGAACTGATAGTACAAGTGGAAGCTTGACTAATTCACTTCTTTCAGTTGTTATAAATGGAAAACAATGGTGGCAGGTCTATGCCACAGCTCTTTACGGAAAGAGTCACTGTAAAACTGCTACATACAAGGTAAAATATATGTTAATATGTCTGTTACAAGTTCCACATATACTCATAGTGTCTTTTAAGCCTCAGGTGATCATGTTTAATCTAGAATAATCCTTAGCTTAGTGCTAACATGCTACTAGAATCCCATAGAGGTGCTAGCAGAAATGAATATTATTGTAGAGGTGTTTTTTTCCCCCTCTTTTTTGACAGAGTTTTGTCATTGAAGGCCTGAATTGTAGGCCTAACTAATTTACCCTTTTAAAACTTTGTCTGTTATTTTCTGAAATAAGTAATATGGACATGCATTAAATAGTAGTAACATCTGCTGCAGCAGTATTCCATTTAATCAGTGTGGAATTTAAATTTGAACTTGTTGTTTCTGGGTGTTGTCTGGGTGGAGTGCAAAATTCTGAGTAGCTTCAGGCAATGCAATGTTTTTTTTTCACTGTTAATTTTTTTTTTTTTTGTAGCATTAATGGAATGAGTTATGCCATGACAGTCATTTAGCTGTCAGTCCACTGTCTCTAAATACATGTCTGAGAGGAACTGAGGACACATAGTGTGCTTTCCCACACCCTGACATGAATGCTAATCCTTGAGATGACTCAGACCCTGTAAATCTGGCCACCTGGAAGCTGATTCACTATCTCTACTTTAGCTTCCAATAGTAAGAGAAAACTACTCTGCTTGTCACAGTTAGACAATTTGGTTTGCAGACAAAACTCAGCCCAATATGATGTTATTTCCTACATTCTGTGCCAAAAATAGGCCAGAAATGGTTCCTATCTGGGCCATTTTAGGCAACCTGACTTTAAAAGTGTTTGGCAGTTTATTGACCTGTTTCTCTGTATGTTACACAGTGGCATAACTAGGATCTTGCAAAAGAAGATTAATGGACCCCATATGAAAATTACTTGCATTGAATTAATAAAAAAGTGTAAGTTGCTTGTTTACTCCGAATTGCTGTGTAAACCAAGCTATGCATAAATCATGAGTGTAAATTTTCATTGGCTCGTCCACACTGCCTTTATTAAAGCTTCCATTCTTTTCAGGAGATGTTCTTTCAGTTTTTCAGAGAAATCTTCAGGAATTTTATCCACACCTCAAAAGTTCAGTCTTAGAAGTTGGTTGCATTTTGTGCCTCTCACAGTATGCAGTCACAAATACAAATTTAGACTCAACAGTCCATAAAACCTCACTGCTCATCTCAGATGTCCACGTTTCTTGACAGCTACACATCCTTACAGACCAATTTTGGAAACTTATTTTTCTTTGACTCTCCCTCTCTTTATGCAAGTTTATTATCATATATCTAATCTCCTCAGAAATATTTCATTTACCCATTTTAGCAGCACATGCAAAAGGAATTTGTAAGCCAGCTAAGGTGTGTTTGGGTTGTTGCTTGTGAGAATGTTAGTGTCTCTTTGAGGGAAAAATAATATCAGTGACATCTTAAGATGGATAGAAGAATTGAAGTTGCAGTAGGGTGCGCAAAAGAGTGGACATATTAAATACTGACATTTGATATTACACTTGTGTTGGAGGCTTTTGTATAATTTTCTGGCAATTTTTTTCTGACACTGAAAATCAGTAACTTAAAAAGGCCGTTTTGACTGGAAATTAACTACCAGACATGTTGCGTTATCAACCACATTAACACAGATGCACCAAACCAGTTAGCACATCGCTTTGCATCCTCTGAAACATCTATCTACAGTCTTCGTCAGCCACACCTAGAGCCTGAATCAAAATCTACCTGTAGGATACACTCAACATGAGTGCCCTTAGGGGCAACTGTTATTCTTTTATTCTCTTTCTGGCAGGCTGTGTCTCAAGCAGTCTGTAAGGGCAGCCTTCACAAGGGGCAACAGCTGCAGGCCAGTGATGAGGAGGGAAAAGTCAGTGAGGAAGAATCTTCACTGAAAGACAAATTCAAACACATCTGCACTTACCTGCAGGACAGGTGAACCCTATGCCACCCGCATGCCTTTTGCCAGTACAGTACAGTATTTATTGACATAAATTGTTTGATTCCTTAATAATGTCATCCCTATTTTATTATCCATATTTTAACATAAGGCATGGAAAAATGCATTAATGCATCAATCTGAGTGTTGTAATTGCATGTAGCATCAATTATAATAAATTATAATGATCATAAAGTATGCACCCAATTTTAAAAATATCTCAGTACACAATACACATTATGATATTTAGTTTTTCTAAAGTTTTAATGTGATCAAAAACGATGTACAGTAATTTTTATTCAGTGATTCATATACTGTCCATATCCAATAAACAGGCCTAATAGTGCTTTTTTTAAAATCAAACATGCAGTTAGTCAGTGTTCTTTATATACTGATGATATCCATGACATGCTTAGGAAAGCATACTGTTATGTAATGTGATAGAATTTAGCATGATAATGATAAATATTGTCATACTGTGTAGTCCTACGTAGTGTATTGTCTTGGTTGTCCTTAGTCCACTACCATGTAAATAGTCTTTTCAGTTGTATTTTTTAAGAATAGTTCTGCATCATACCATCCATCCATCCATCATCTAAACCACTTATCCTTCTGGGTTGCGGTGGGGTGCTGGAGCCTATCCCAGCTGTCATTGGGCGGAAGGCAGGATACACCCTGGACAGGTCGCCAGTCCATCGCAGGGCAGACAGACAGACATACACATTCACACACACACTCACACCTAGGGGCAATTTAGCATGTCCAATCAGCCTGACTGCATGTTTTTGGACTGTGGGAGGAAACCGGAGTACCCGGAGGAAACCCACGCAGACACGGGGAGAACAGGCAAACTCCACACAGAAAGGACCCTGGTCACCCGGCCGGGAATCGAACCCAGGCCCTTCTTGCTGTGAGGCGACAGCGCTACCCACTGCGCCACCGTGCCGCCCTTGCATCATACCAAAATGACTAAATTTAATTGAATCATTGTGAAATTTCTTGATCCATGGAATTGTTTCCTAAAGAATCATAATCAAACTTAATAATTGTTACGATTTATGAAGCTATTTAATATTAACATCTCTTTTCTTCTTTCTCGCTCAGGGTGAGTGTGCTGTGCTCTCTCCTGCAGGTTCAGGATCATTATGGAGTGTGCGTGGCTGATGTTCAGGAAGGTCTTCAGGTTCATTGGGAGCTGCTGGAGAATCTGCACACCAGAGTGACCCTGAAGCCTGAAAAGTGCCAGAGCCTTGAAGATCCTCACACTGTCCTCTTGGATACTGAGGTAAATCAGAAATGAAAATGTTTTCCTCTCCAAGAAACTAGAGCAATTAGAGTTCCCCTTGGTTTAAATGAAAAGATGGACTTCCCCTTCCCAAGTTTAAAGCCCTGGTTTAAATGAAAAAAAGTTTCTCATCCCTAGTTTAAATTAAAGAGCCCATATCATGAAAAATCAAATTTCCCTCGTCTCAAAAGCCTTTGATGTTATGTTCAAGCAGTGTTAAAATTCCAAAACATATCAGTCCATACAGTCCGTATATGGAAAAGCTAAAAGAAATTCTTTGAATTCAGTGTTTTTGTGATGTCCTAAGAACCAACTAATTTTCATATATCCACCTTTTTTTCCCTACAGCAGTTAAGCCCCTCCCAATTTCCCACTGAAATTTTACAAAGTGTTTTAGCCCAGACGGCTTTTTAGTAAGGCATAGAACAGGACAGCACTCATTTACATGCATCAGTCCTAAAAACTAAGCAACAAGAGAGCTTGTTTAATCCTGAGGGATGAAGAGAAGTTGAAATATGGCATGTAAGACCACACAAATGTTATCAGCAGACATCAGGAAAAAATAAAATACAAGAGGGTATCTGTCAAATTTCTGAGCATATGATCATTAATCTTAGTTGGCCTCCAAATTTTAGTGTAAAAAGGCACTAGTTACAAACATATAAAACTGAATAGTAAAGTGTAATATGAAAAATGATACAGCAATAGTCAAATGAGAGTTTATTTTTAGTGCATCTATGTTTCAGAGCCTCTACACACAGCTGGGTCTGTTCAGGAGCAGAGTTCATGAGTGTCAGACACACCTAAACACCAGCACACAGCTGCTTCAGGTGAAAAATGAACATACACATCTAGACTCATACCTCCTTATAAACACATGCTTTTACTCTCTCTCTCTGTTTCTCTCACATACGTATAGCCATCATTTAGTCCTAGAGAGAATGATCTATGTTCCCTATTCTACAGGAACTGGAGAGCAGTCAGCAGGTGCTGGCTGACACTGTAGGTGTGACACTGGAAGCTACATGGACCAAAGACTTTCTGCAGTGCAACACTCAACAGGTACACAAATAACAAAAATAGGATGTATTATAGATTGAATGTTTAAATGAATAGTGAGATTTACACTACCAACCCACTTATCCCAAATGTAGTCCATCAGCCAAGACATATTTGGTATCTGAGGTTCACTTCTTTAGTTTCACACTAGAGCTTCAAAGCTTCTGAAGGCTCATCTAACATCCTTCACTTGAGGTAATAATGTAATGGAACAGTCCTTCCATTGGTGTCAGGGATTCTCCTGAAGGAAAATGGCAAGGCCAAGTGGACAAGGGCTTATTAAAACAGGTACTGAAATGGGCGGTAAGTAATGAAAGTTAACCCTTGTGTGGTGGTGATGTTGTTGTTACTCAGTGGTCTGGTTGACCCACCACATTATTGTTTTTTTTAAATCAATACAGCCATAACAATTTATGTAAAAATACCAGATGTTTAAAATATCACAAGTGGCCAGCGTAGGGTTCTCCTTTAGCAGCTGTTGCCAGTCAGCAGCCTGTCCATGTTGTCCACCCTCACACACATGCACACATATACAAACACATACACACAGACAGAACAGAGTGAAGGGACACAGCACCTCCACACTTTTATTCCCCGTGGGTTCACCCCAACACCACGTGTGATGTAAATGTGTACGGGGTGTACAGTGTGAAGTCATTGAAAATGTGTTTTTTCGTATGTTCTTCACAGAAAATGAGTAGAGGCCAATGAATCTGGGGTTGAAATAATAATAAATTAAATAATTTCTTCTTTTGATAAACATCAAAAATGGGTCACACAGACCCAAACACCTCACAAGGGTTAATATCTCACTAATTAGCATTGTGCAAACTACATACCTAGTTCTACACACTTACGCCAAGCTTTGTTGTGCTGTCTTCCTCCTTCAAAACAGCCTGACCTCATGTTCCCGCCCCTAAGCTGTTTTAGTTTTCAAGGGTTCCTTCCACTTTCAAAATTCATCATCGAAAGGGCGTTTCCTAGTCCTAGATTCTTTGTCTTTAAACCACAAAATCTTACTCTAAAGACTTTTGTGGTACCTCTGTAGGAGGCGGGTAGCAGTGAAGCAGTGGTTAAAGTTTTCATTTAGGCTGGAGTGCCAAATAGACTTGCTTATGTGGTTTCTGGAACTGTAAGACATTGATTTTATTGGTTCTTTTGTCAGTTTTTACAGATAACAGAATCTATACAGCGCCAGAAACAACTCAGTGTGGTCTGATGCAAGTATAAGATGACTGCAGAATCTTAATGGGTGTACATAAACTACCATCACTTGCTAGTGATATAACTAAAGAAAAACTAAAGAAGCAAACTTTAAACACCAAACATGTCTTGGAAGACTGACTTTTTTCGACTTTGTTTGTTAAAGGGGAAAGGGGAAAACCATTTTAAACATCTGCATAAATCAGTCATTAAGATGTAAATAAAGTCATTTAGTATATTTGATGTGAAATTCTGTGAAACTTAGTGTACCAGAATTGTTCACGACAGTAGTGAAAGGAACGAGACATTCCTGTTAGATGTGTTTAATGCCTTTGAAAGCTACCTCACACACAGTTATTACATGAAGTGGTTACAAATACTTTGTTTGATGCCCAAGACACTGCTGTATGATAGTTTTAAGATTTTGGCCTAAACACACACACATATGTGTATATATATATATATATATATATATATATATATATACACACACAGTGGTGAGAAAAAGTGTTTGCCCCTTCCTGATTTCTTATTCTTTTGCATGTTTGTCACACTTTGATGTTTCAGATCACCAAACAAATTTAAATATTAGACAAAGATAACACAAGTAAACACAAAATGCAGTTTATAAATGAAGACCTTTATTATTGAGGGAAAAAGAAATCCAAACCTACAGGGCCCTGTGTGAAAAAGTGATTGCCCCCTAAACCTAATAACTGGTTGGGCCACCCATAGCAGCAACAACTGCGATCAAGCATTTGCGATAACTGGCAATGAGTCTTTTACAGAGCTGTGGAGGAATTTTGGCCCACTCATCTTTGCAGAATTGTAATTCAGCCACATTAGAGGGTTTCCGAGCATGAACCTCCTTTTTAAGGTCATGCCACAGCATTTCAATCGGATTCAGGTCAGGACTTTGACTACGCCACTCCAAAGTCTTAATTTTGTTTTTCTCAAGCCATTCAGAGGTGGACTTGCTGGTGTGTTTTGGATCATTGTCCTGCTGCAGAACCCAAGTGCGCTTCAGCTTGAGGTCACGAACAGATGGCCGGACATTCTCCTTCAGGATTTTTTGGTAGACAGCAGAATTCATGGTTCCATTTACCACAGCAAGTCTTCCAGGTCCTGAAGCAGCAAAACAGCCCCAGACCATCACACTACCACCACCATATTTTACTGTTGGTATGATGTTCCTTTTCTGAAATGCTGTGTTACTTCTACGCCAGATGTAATGGGACATATACCTTCCTTGGGGATCATCAAGATGTTTTCTGGCAAAACTGAGACGAGCCTTTATGTTCTTTTTGCTCAGCAGTGGTTTTCGTCTTGGAACTCTGCCATGTAGGCCATTTTTGCCCAGTCTCTTCCTTATGGTGGAGTCATGAACACTGACCTTAACTGAAGCAAGTGAGGCCTGCAGTTCTTTGGATGTTGTTGTGGGGTCTTTTGTGACCTCTTGGATGAGTCGTTGCTGTGCTCTTGGGGTAATTTTGGTCGGCCGGCCACTCCTGGGAACGTTCACCACTGTTCCATGTTTTCGCCATTTGTGGATAATGGCTCTTACTGTGGTTCACTGGCGTCACAAAGCTTTAGAAATGGCTTTATAACCTTTCATAAAGCCATTTATAAATGGCTTTATAAAAGGGGGGGCAATCACTTTTTCACACGGGGGGGCAATCACTTTTTCCCTTAATAATAAAGACCTTCATTTATAAACTGCATTTTGTGTTTACTTGTGTTATCTTTGTCTAATATTTAAATTTGTTTGGTGATCTGAAACATTTAAGTGTGACAAACATGCAAAAGAATAAGAAATCAGGAAGGGGACAAACACTTTTTCACACCACTGTATATATATATAATGCCAATGACTTTACATCTCAATGATTGAATTATGCAATATTTTTGAAAAAAAACTGTGAAATTTCACTTAAATCCATATGACCATAAAGACTTTAAATCCAATCTATTCATGACCAAGATGCAAACGTAATCGTTACACTTTATTTCCCATTACTCACAGTTTGAAAAAGTCCATGAGGATTTCATGTCCCTGGAACAGCAGACTCTGACCTTTGTGACACACCTGAGAGGCCTCAGAGTGTCTGAAGAGGGGAGTAAAGTAAGCTTGTCTGATTTGGAGCACAGTCAGAGCGCTCCATCATCACCTGTCTCAGCGGTACCTGTATACAGCGTTGCTCTGGCCACAGAGAATCCCATCCTGGACCCTGATCCAGAACCCCCACCCAAATCTAGCTCCAAACTCTCAGCCATGAACTGCCTGTGTGGGGTGAGACGGAGGAAGTGAACTCGTAACTTTGAATTTGAGAAAAAGATTTGTCAGTGCATCTGTTATGTTTGAAGTGTATGCTTGGCACTGAAGACTTGCTCAATGACGGGAGATGAATTTGGAAATAAAAATCTAATTAATGTATAGCAAAATCACATGTACTGTGCAAAAGTCAGAGGCCAACCTTCATTTATTTATTTTCCAGTTTTAAGACCCATTAAGTGCAAGTTTTTCAATTATCTGAGATATTTCTGAGGAGAGTAGATGTAAGATAATTCACTTGTATAAGGAAGGCGAAAAGAAATTTACTGAAAAAACAGGAGTTTACACACACACACACACAACACACACACACATTATCTGAGCCACTTATCCTCGGCCACGGGTCATGGGGACGGGGCTTGGAGTCTTTCCCAGCAGTCATTGGGCAGAAGGCAGGAAACCCCCTGGACAGGTCACCAGTCCATCACACGGCAGAGACACAGACATGTACATTCACACACACACTCACACGTAGGGGCAATATAGCATCTCTGATTCACCTGAATGCATGTCTTTGGAATGTGGGAGGAAACCGGAGCACCAGGAGGAAAAGGAGTTTCCAGAACAAATTAAAAAAGAGATAAAATGGGACTAACAACCATGCAGTGGTCTTCAAGGACTTTTTTAGATCTGAAGCAAGACTGGAGATTGATTTTCTTCTATCTTTCAAAGATGAAAGCTTTAAGTAATAGAAGAAAATCATACTCCATTCTTGCTTCGGATCTAAAAAATTCTCAGGTATTTATTCAATTTTTCCACTGTGGGAAGACAAATCAACGCTATGAGTCTGAAAGAATGTGTAGCTGTTAAGAAGCTGATTTGACAAAAAAAGAAAATTTTCAAATCAAACATAAAAGCTGCTGGTGTTCTCAGAACAATGCACTGGTCGCCCCAGACCTCCACATCACAGAATGTGTTTGGGATTCTTTTGGATTGTAAGAAGCAGAAAATGTATTTTGAGACTTCTAAGGCTGAACTTTGTGTGGATTTTTTTCCTGCAGATTTCTTTGAAAAACTGAGAGCAAGTTTCAGAAAAAAAATAAATTATGTATATGTGTTGTTGAGTCTTTTTGACAAATATATGTTTTCTGCTTTTTTCATCATGCAGAAACTGAATAACTTGTACTTATTGACAGTTTTGACTGGAAAATTCCAGTTGATTGTTGGCTGTGTGCTGTCCATGTCTAGTGCTCTGCAGTCACTACAGCTGCAGTGCTTCAATTTGAATTATGGAAAGGGAAATGCCTTCTATCACACTGCTGACTGACTACAACTAAATTGTAAGACAATTAGAAAGACATATATAAAATAAATCTGCTTTAGTCTCTAAATATAAATATGCCAAACAAGTAATAGACTGTGTTTACAAAGTAACTATACAAACAAAAAAAGTTGTGTATGAGTTCTGTGTATTCACATGTTCAATACCATTCAAAAGTTTGGAATCACTTGTCAGATTAACAATTGTTATTTAATGATAACTTATACAGCAACATATGTGTAGACTGACCTATTATAAACTATAAGCCAAAATGTAAGGTTTATTTACAATTTAAAGTATTTTGGCAATACAAGAATTTATAACATGGTAAAAAAATTGTAAATGTTGTTAAACAATAAACAATTTTTGTTGCAAAACTTACTATGAAAAGCTATTTGATCAGCAAGATTTGACTAGTGCTTTTCATTCTGGGTATTAATTAAGTCCATTCTTGATGTTACACAGCTTTCTCAGTTATTATGGAGTCATCTACATCTCTGTTCATTATCAAAAATGTTTTTTTTATTTTTACGGTATGCTGCAAATGGTTTGAAACCTATAAAATATACGTCTCTGCAACAAACTGATTTTCTATCGTTTAAAACAGTGATTACAAACTTTTGAACCACAGTGTACTTACCCAGGTACATGTATATATGTATGTAAGTATTATATTGATGGATTTGTACTTTCCTGTGTATTTTCAAGTGATGTTATGTTTATTTATTATTACATAATCTATGTGGAAAGCAATCTGCTTTTTCATTCATTCCATTTTAGTCAATCATACTGAGTTACTCATTCCTTTTTAGTGTTACATTTCATTCTGTTCTGTTGGTTAAACAACTGGACTGCTTTGCTGTTGCTCATACCTCTCACTTTCTAGCTTGAGCATTTTTTAGACCAAAAGCATCCCAGAAAGAAGAGAACAACACCTTAAAAACTTTCTTCTTACACTGATAGATGCTGGATGCACAAAATGTTGCACTACGGTCCTGTTCTTGAGTTTTTGTGAGAATTGTGTTCACCTCACAGTTGCCATTGTTATAAACCGCCACAAGGAGGCAAACTTTAACAACACTTTAGCAAACCCTCTTTTTGGCTAAAGCACTGGGGTATGTTTTCCATCTGTCCATATTTCAGCCAGATTTTAGTCATTTTTCTTCCCACTGAACACAGTGCAGCCAACCTCTTTCTGCCAAATCAGCTTTATAGTGGGAAAGAATTTGCTCTAGGTCTGTAAATGTGTTTCAGGGAAAGATGAGTTTTATCTGTGAGAGCTGGGGTGCAGTTTCCCCACATGCTTCCTCTCATGGTTTTCTGAAAAATTTTCATTTGGCTGTTCATGACGAGCTCTCAGGGTGTTTTAAGCTGTGCATACTTATTCAAAAAGAAAATAATATGCTTAAGGGAACATACTAGTAGTTTAAATGACTGTATAAAGAGATTTACGCCTGTTGCTACTGTTTATAATAGATATTCAAGCTTTTCTTTCCTTTTTCTCCTTGTCTCGTCGCACAGTTGGTGTACAATATATACAGCCAATATCAGATCAAAACCTTGCAACTCCAGTTTTTGGTGTTTATACTTTTTACACCATTTGGAAAATCCAGCCATTTACCTTTTTTTGCATCACCTACGAAGTTTCCATTTTGAAGATTTTGTATTTAATAGAATAACTGATAGATTGATTGATCATTTGGACAGTGTTGTATGGCCTGTAACACACTGCCCCTTCTGACATTAAGGTAGACGGTTTACAGTTGCATTACTTGCTCTAAAACTGTAGATGGAAATCATCTTATTTTTCTAGATGTATTTCATTTATCTGTCTACTAATATACATAGTAAAAAAGTATGTACATAGTTCATATTTTCTATAATATGTGACTAAAGACAAGGTGCACATTCTACCAGCATGGCTGTAATTGTGCCATGGGACAGGTGTAACACCCATTTGTTATACTGTGATTTGGCCTATGGAATAATAAGAGATGTGTAATCTCATTACTTTCTTTTTTTATTTTTCTAAACTGTTAATGGTCACATATATTTCTTTTGAAATGTGTAGAAGTTCTATATTTTTCAAACAAAAAAAATCATTTGTTGCTCTACACACTACAAGATATAGTCAAGATTTTTCATATTTTTTAAAATAATTGCAAACAGCACCTTATAAAAATAAATAGTATTAATAATAAATATAATAACAGCAACCACAAACAACAAATGATGAAACAATTATGAAACAATAATGACAGTAAATATATGCAATTTAAATTTTAATGTTATTGATTTGTTATTGTTATTGAATGTTATTGTTTTGTATTTGCCTGTAACTATTAAACCTGGACTTAAGAGTGTCTGTAATGCAAGGAAATGAAATTTCCAATATCTTCGTAGTGGAGATGTTTATGTGGTTGAAACTTAATAAGCTATAAGAGGATGATATCATGCATTATGCAGTATGAAAATGGCACTCAAAGTTTATGTCGCAAATAAAATGGTGTTAAAGTGTTACAACTGTCCTGCTGTTACAACTAGAGTCTGTGTACCCTACACAGAGTCTAGTTGTACCCTACACTGTATGTCTGACTAATAATAGACTCTAGTCTAGTTTTATTGAATGTGAATGTTATTGTTAATGAGAGGCTCCAAAATGACAAAGACGCCATCACTGACCTTTCAAGGCCTTCAGCAATGGACAACACAATAAGAGATTGGGCCAGAGGTGCGAAGGGAGGAGGAAAGGAGAAAAAAGGAGAAAAGGGGAGAAGAGGAGTGGGGAGGAGGGGCACAGAGGGTCAGTGCCGGAAGCGTGTCTGTTATTACTAAAAACTGAGCAGCCTTCTGGACCCTCTCTGGAGCAGCAAGCGCCTTTGATCCAAATTCAATTACCTTCACCTCCTCTGACATTGACAGATCATGTGCAATCACTTAGTGATAGGTTATGCTATACAGCTCAGTCAACTGAAGAAACTGCCTAGAGAGTTTCTTCAAAGGTGAACGATACCAGTGATACATGTTTCGGGAGATTTTGATTTTCCTTCATCCCCCCTCCACCCCCCCGATGTCTGAGGGAGGGATGGTTTAAACATATCGATCTTTGCCTGAGCTTGTTATTCGAGCAGCCCTCGCCAATGGCATTCCAACATGTGTGAAACGTTTATGGAGTGGATAAGCCATTTCAGTACTTTTATGGAATTGGATCGCGAGCAGAGGATGAGATCAAGAGCATATTTAATGCTGAGATGTGCACAAATCTGTCCAGCAGACTGAGAGAGTTTGCTTTAGCAGAGCGGAGAGCGAGGCAGCTTATAACTGTGCAGCACTCAAGCTCTCTCTAAACCCCAAAACCACAGCTTAACTAGACGCAAACATGTCCAATTTGTGTTTGAATATAGTGTATGCATAAATGGGTGTATTTCAGAGGCTTGGTTGGCCCAGTGCCTAACTGATCGTGTTTTGTGGCCCCCTTGCACCTGTTGGTCCCTATCAGGCTGGAGTCTAATTGAAAAGGGTGGGCCATGCCCCGTGCCCAGGGGGTTTCTTGGAGGAATGGAATGTGTGCTTAAGCACTACAGGACAGGAGCTGTCACAATACCGGACATGCACACACATAGTGAGAGAGGGAGGGAGAGTGAGCATAAAGGTCAAGGGTCATACAGTGCGTGCAAAGTTACTTCAGCAAAATGATTTCATCCTTTTGTTTCAGTCGTGTGATTTTTCTATTGCTGGTGTTGTATTTGGGACTGAATTTCTGGCATGGCTGCACAAAGCTAGCATAACTGGAATTGAAAGATGACTAAAATGATTTTAAAGGTACCTCAACAAAGTATAAAATAGGCTATGATGCTTTCCTTGGGGTAGGTTAAACAGTATTTTGACGACTGATTTTTTCCATGTC